TAATTTCAAAATTTGGTATAGAACTACAGTAATCAAGACACTGTGGTACCAATATAAAAAAAACATAAATTGATGGAACAGAATTTAGAGTCTAGAAATATTTATGGTCAATTGATTTTTGGAAAAGGGTCAAGAAAATTCAATGTGAATTGTGTTTTCAACAAATAGTGCTGGAATAATTAGATATTCTCATGCAGAAAGATGAATTTAGATCCTTAACCTCTCACATCATACACCCAAAAGTAATTCAAAATAGATCATAGAGCAAGTTGTAAAAGGATGTTAAATTCGACTGCATCAAAATTAAAACCTTTTGTACTTCAAAAGACACCATTAAGAAATGAAAGGATAAGTTGTAGAAAGAGAATGTTTGCAAATCATGTATCTGATAAAGGACTAGTATCTAGAATATATGAAGAACTCTTTCAAACCAAGAAGACAAACAACTGGATTTAAAAAAAGAGACAAAAGGCTTGATGAACAGTTCACCAAAGAAGATATACAAGTGGCTAATAAGCATGTGAAAAGACATGTAACATCATTAGTTATTAGGAAAATGTAAATTAATACCACAGTGAGATACTGCTTCATACCTACTTAAAATGGCTATATTCAAAAAGTCAGATAATACCAAGTGTTGGCAATGATGTGAACAAGCTGGAAACTTTATGCTTTGCTGGTGGGAATTCAAAATGGCACGACCACTTTAGAAAAGAATTTGACAGTCTCTTAAAATGCTAAACATAAATTTACCATATAGTGCAGCAATTTCACTTCTAGGTATCTACCCAAGAGAAATGAAGACATATGTCCATACAAAGACTTGCACATAAATGCTCACAGCATCATTATCCATAATAACCAAAAAGTGGAAACCATTCAAACTTCCATCAAGCAGTGAATGGATAAATAAAATGTGGCATATCCACACAATGGAAGTCTATTATGCAATAAAAAGGAACAGATTGCAAATACGTGCTGCAACATTGATGAACTAAGTAACCATTACGCTAATTAACAAGAGATCACATGATTCCATTTCTATGATGAAATGTCCAGAAAGGCAAATCTGTAGATTCAGAATATAGATTAGTGGTTGTTGGAACTGGAGCGAGGAATGGAGATTGTCTGCCAATCGATTTGAACTGATGGAAATGTTCTGAACTTGGATTGTGATGATCGCTATACAACTCCATGTATTTAAAAACGATCAATGAATTGTACACTTAAAATAGGTGGATTTTATATGCAAATTATCTCTCAGTAGATTAAATAAATAGATAAATAAATAAATAAAACAGAATACTCACAGAAACCCAGAAACAAACTTTGTAAGTAGAGAGAATATAATTATGTTCCAATGAGGTGGTGGAATTATGAAGGATGTTTATATTTTTATGTATTTTCAGTTAAAAATGTGTTTTAAATCAGGAGAAAATTTGGAAAATTGTACTCTGAGAGTCAAATCACTCCATGATGGGCCAGCAGAGAACGATGTAAAGTCACCTTGATAAAGAGACAAAATGGCTCTCGGGCCTGCGAGATTTAGCAGTGACCCGATTACAGTTAATAAAACATCTAAAGAAAGATGAATCAATCAGCAGAGAGCATTGATCAATAAAGAAAGCAAAGCAAAGGGACAGTTGCGAGGCAAGCTTTGCAGGGTCTGACCGATGCCACGCAGGGAGGCGGAAGGCTAGTCAGAGAGTGGGTGTGCCTACCCCATGGTGGACATGGCTGCCATCTGTCTCACAGGGCTTCAGAGCATCAGACATTCTAAGTGCGGTACAACAGATTTGTCTTGTTCTAACTGCATGCTCACCCCATAACATTTTTTTTCCCAAGCAATTTTGTGTATAGAGAAAGCCCATTCCTATTGATATATTATGAATTCACACACATTTGGGTTATACACTTCAGACACCCGAGGCTTACTTCAGTGTGAATCAGCTTGTCCAAGAAGAATCAACTTTAGAGTGGCAGCAAGATGAAAATGATGCACCTGGAAAGCTGAGAAAGACTCTGGACTGTGGCAGATTCCTGAGGATGAATGCCACCTCTTGGAAGTCAGCCAGTCACCTGACCTTGCTCGGTGACATCCCACCCTTGACAAGAGCTTCTCATTCAGCCTTCCATATCAAGAAATGCAAGACACAAGATACATTCAAATTATTGTATGTTCAGCATATTTTTTTTTTAAGAAGCCACTTATGGGAAGAGTTTAGATTATTTAAATCTTATATTTACTGACTCCAGATCCATCCAGCCATAATGACCATAATTCCAGGACTAGCTGTTTCAACCCCACCTTACTCATGAAACCAGCGCTGGTGAAATAGAGAGCTTCCATCCAACGACTTTTGCTGGGGTGATGCTCCACCACCAAGAGTCTGTGGCTGTGTGTCAAAGCCTCTGGGGGACAATGTGCCTGCCTCTGGGGACAATGGAGCTTATCTGTTTGAGCACTGAGCTCTAGTGTCCCACAACATATAGGTACTTTTCATGACTGACCTTATGTCCTGGTTTATAATTTCTACTCTCATTCCCAGATGGAACTTTGAGGCCAAGCACCTCTATCTCATTCCTGCCTGCCCTCAAACTCCTTCCACACTAGCCCATGCTAATTGGACCCTGATAATGTCCCTGCCTTGATCTGGATGGACAATTTGATTTTGGCACTCTCTTGATGCTCTGAAGCATCTTTTCCTAGAAGAGTGGTTCTCAACTTTGTTGCTATAGTACTACTATTTGGGGACGCCTGCGTGGCTCAGTCTGTTAAGCATCTGCCTTTGGCTCAAGTCATGATCCCAGAGTCCTGGGATCAAGCCTCGCATCATTGGATTCCTTGCTCAGTGGTGAGCCTGCTTCTGCTTCTGCCTGCCTCTTTCTCTCTCTCTCTCTCTCTCTCTGACAAATAAATAAATAAAATCTTTATAATGCCACTATTCAATTCTGATGTGAATCACCTACAGTTAGCATCAGACTCCACAGGTTTAAGGGAAGTCCCCAATAAAACTGCCCTCACTTCAGGTACCAGCTGCAAGTTCAGGGTCCCCAGGCCACCTGCACTTCCAATCTCCGATCAACTAGTTGCAAATTTGGAGGTTGTACTACCCTTTCAGGATTGATAATATTCTAGAATGACTTACAGAAATCAGGAAAGTGGGGTGCCTGGGTGGCTCAGTCAGTTAAGTGTCTGCCTTCAGCTCAGGTCATGATATCAGAGTCCTGGGATGGAGCCCCACATCTGGCTCAGCGGGGAGCCTGCTTCTCCCTCTCCCTCTGCCTCTCTCCCTGCTCATGCTCTATCTCTCTCTCTGTATCTCTGTGTCTCAAATGAATGAATAAAATCTTTAAAAAAAAAAAAAAAAGAACTCAGGAAAGTGCTACACATATAATTGTCAGTTTTTTTGTAAAGGATACAAATCAGGACCAGTCAAATGAAGAGTCACATAGAGTGAGGTCTGGGAGGTCTCACATACAGAGTTTCCATGCCTTCTCCCCATGGAATCAGGACTCATCACCCTCCTAGCATATCTATGTATTCACCAAGCCACTGCCCAGAGTTTTTATTGAAGTTTCATTATGTAGGCATAATTGATGGAATCATTGGCTACATGACTGAACTCAATCTCTAGCCTTTCTCACCTCCTTGGAAGTTGAAAGTTTGTGCTAATATCACTATGGCTCAAGACTCAGCTTTTAATCCAATGGTTGGTCTTTCAGGCATGACCAGCCCCCGGTTTGAGTCATCTACTTAGCATAAACTCAGGTGTGGTCCAAGGGCTCACTATGGAAAAACAAAGACACTCTTATCACTGGAGGAATTCCAAGAATTTGGAGTTTCTCTCCTCCCTAAGAACCAGGGACAAATGCCAATCCAATTATTTATTATATAACATTTGCATATTGCAATCACTCAGGAAGCTTTTAAAAATGTTCATGCCCATCAAGAAATGGGCAGAAGACATGAACAGACATTTCTGCAAAGAAGACATCCAAATGGCCAACAGACACATGAAAAAGTGCTCAACATCACTCGGCATCAGGAAAATACAAATCAAAACCTCAATGAGATACCACCTCACACCAGACAGAATGGCTAAAATTAACAAGTCAGGAAACGACAGATGTTGGGGAGGATGTGGAGAAAGGGGAACCCCCCTACACTGTTGGTGGGAATGCAAGCTGGTGCAGCCAATCTGGAAAACAGTATGGAGGTTCCTCAAAAAGTTGAAAATAGAGCTACCCTATGACCCAGCAATTGCACTACTGGATATTTACCCCAAAGATACAAATGTAGTGATCCAAAGGGGCACATGCACTCCAATGTTTACAGCAGCAATGTCCACAATAGCCAAACTATGGAAAGAGCCTAGATTTCCATCAACAGATGAATGGATAAAGAAGATGTGGTTACATATATACAATGAAATATTATGCAGCCATCAAAAAAAATGAAATCTTGCTATTTGCAATGACATGGATGGAATTAGAGGGTATTATGCTAAGCAAAATAAGTCAATCAGAGAAAGACAAGTATCATATGATCTCACTAATATGAGGAATTTGAGAAACAAGACAGAGGATCATAGGGGAAGGGAGGGAAAAATTAAACAAGACGAAACTAGAGAGGGAGATAAACCATAAGAGACTCTTACTCTCAGGAAACAAACAGGTTTGCTGGAGTGGAGGTGAGAGGGATGGGGTGGTTGGGTGATGGACATTGGGGAGGGTATGTACTATGGTGAGCACTGTGAATTGTGTAAGACTGATGAATCACAGACCTGCACCCCTGAAACAAATAATACATTATATGCGAATAAAAAAAAATGTTCATGCCTGGGTGGCTCAGTCAGTTAAGGGTTCAACTCTCTTGATTTCGGCTCAGGTCATGATCTCATGGTCGTGAGATCCAGTCCTGTGAGTCTGCTTGAGATTCTCCCTCTCCTTCTCCCTCTCCCCCTCCCCCTGCTCATGCACGCACACTCTTTCTCTCTCTCAAATAAATAAATAAACAAATGAATAAATAAATAAATAAAATCTTTAAAAAAAAAGTTCATGCTTGGATCCTACCAAGAACTAATTGGTCTGGGGTGCAACTTGGATATAAGAATTTTTAAAATCTCCTCCAGATAATTCTAACTTATCCTACAAGCTATGCTTCTGGCCTTGCTTGATCCTCTTAATTTGAACTTCTAGGATATGTGTGTTCCTCCAAATTAGATTGGGATTGTTGGTCTGGTTAATGGAGCTCCCAACATGCCACTTGGTTGGGGCTAGGGTTAGGGTTAGGGTCATGATCTATCTTGGGTCTAGGGTCTCTGTGCTGCACAACTGTGAGTGGACCCATTCACAACATAGTTCATGTGAATAATGCCCTGGATATATGCAGGGTACATACCGCACTATACAGGGGACACATGTCTTAATCTAGTCACCACACATTAAATTAGCATCAAGCAAATTTACCAAACAAACAACTTAGCAGATTTATTGGTATTTCAGACATATTTGTTAGCTTTAACAGGAATATTGTCACATCTCTGTCAGCTTTAAATTTTTATTTCAAGTTTAAAACCATCTAAAATGAATATCAGAATTTACCTAAAATGATCCTGTATATTAAGAAAAAAGTATGATGGATTCCCATAGAACATGCTAAATTTTGAGAAATTGAATATTTTTAAAAATTTACAATACTCACATAAATGTGATATATTAGAATATTCTATAAATCAGCTTTTGGAAAACTAGCCTTCAACAAATTGGAATTCTGCAAATTATATTCTTGGCTTCTGCTTATGATTAACTTCCATCATCTAAAAAAATTTGCTTATGTGAGAAATTTTAAACCCTAGTATTTTCCATCAAGATTTCCTTGTATAGCATGTGATTAAGAGATTGCATTTTGAAAGTATTTAAAATAAAAAAGGCAGAGGTAGAGAGAAGGAAGCCATGAACCACTTCTGACCAGCCAAGGTTTTTCCCAAGAACCTGGGAGGAACTCTCTAACAATGAACCAAGAAATTTGTCCAGCAGGGAAAAAAAATAAAATAAAATAAATTAGTAGAACTTGGCAACTCTGTTGGGGTAAGGGAGGTTGCATTTGACATGAAGGCCCTGATGGTACATTTCCTGAATAAAAATAGTGATTGCCTTTATGCATATTACCCTTTCAAAGTCAGGTCAAGTTACAATGTGGGTAATTTTTTATCCATCCACTTAAGGAAAGAATTTTTCAGAAAACTTCTCTTTCTACCTCAGAGTGGAATAGGAAATAAATTTTAGCAAACTTCATTTTCTGCCATCAGGAAGGGAAGGAAATTCGAATTTGTGATAATGATTGCATTTTAAGTTACCTAAGAAAAGTGCTAGGGAGACAAGAATTGCCTTCTAAAAATAAACCAAAGCAACCAAATAGAAACTTCTTGAGCCCTAGCTTCGAAAGTGTTCACTCTGAATTCCAAACCTCTAGTTTTCAGGTTCTTTCTGAGGTTGTTGGTGAGGACTGACCAACCCTGAGGACTGACCCTGTAGGACTCAATAAGAATCCTAATAAATATGAAGCTATGGTTGGGAGTCTTTGAAAAATAAGTAAAATTTCCCAACTCATTCCACAAACCTCAATTATCTCATACTATTAGGGGATCTAGAAATACAGAGTCAGAGTTAAGAGTTCTGAGCAATTTGTTTTCAAAGACTCATTCAAATGGGCTAAAGGTGCATATTAGTTTGGCTTTTACACCTCCTGCTGCTGAAGAGGATAAATAATTACAGTGATTTATCTTTGAAATGTGCAGCTCGAATTTGGATGTGGAAAAGTCACATAATGGCGTCAGCACTTCAGCCCGAAGTAAATAAAATGGTGAAATATATTTAGCACATGATAACACAAAGCACTGAGAAACAGAGATAATAAGAAGAAACTGTCTTTACATATCAGAGAACTTTACAAAATAGCAAGCTTTTACAAAAAGGAAATAATTACAGAAAATAGAAACAGTGGGAAAAACCAGAAAGTCTTCCAAGTTCCAAATTTCCATCCTAATTCTAGCTCTCAAAAGGTAGGTCAGTTTCTCAGGCTCTTTGCCCGGGTTTCTTCTTTCTAACTTTTCAGCCTCCCTCCGTGTGGTAAGTGCTTAATTCTGGAAGCAGTAGAGCATTTGCTTAGATGTCTAATGCCTTTCAAGGCTAATGTGACTATTCAAGCAAGTGGTGGCTTCCATTCCCTTTCCAGATGCCCCTGAGAGGCACTTTGGCAGGACTGTGGTGCCATAAAGGAGATTTTACCCTCCAAGAAAGGCTGCTTTCCAGTTTTCTCTTTCTTTTACCATAGACTAGGTTTGCACACAAATATTAATTTGCTTCAAAGGACTTGGAAGGTCCACTCAGTCAAACAACTGACTTTTTAACTGACTTTGCCATTGAATGCAAACAAAGAGCAGCCCAATAGTTTGTGTGCTGGAAATAGTCTTGGATACATCTATGCACAGAATCTTGCCCTGCCCCACCTCTTCCTGAACCTCTCCCCATGCCCCATTCCTGCCACCTGAAACTGCTTGTGTGTTGGTCATCACTGATGGCCTCCTAGTTGCTAGATCCAAGTGACCATCTATCAATTCATGTCTTATTTTCCAGATCACAGAAAGTTGATGCTGTTTATCAGTTGATCAATAGAAGACATTGATAATGTTTTGTTTTTCTTCAGCATCTCTAACCACTCCTTCACAGTCTTCATTAAGAAGATCTCTTTCTCTATGCATTACTTAAATGTGAACTTTCTGCAGAAATCCATCAGGGACTCTCTTCTTACTCATCTCCTTACTCCTGTGTAATTTTTTTTCATTCCTTTGCTTTCATTGTCACCTTTAGATTAATGATTCCCATCTTATGTCTCTAGCCTATCTCTCTCCTGAGTTGTTTTTTTTTTTAAGATTTATTTGAGAGAGAGAGAGCACGCGCACGCACGTGCACACACACACGTGTGAGCCTGGGGGGAGTGGAGGACAGGGCGGCAGGGAGAGGAAGATGGAAAGAATCCCAAGCAGACTCTGAGTTGAATGCAGAGCCTAGTGTGGGTCTTGATGTCACGACCCATGAGATCATGACCTGAGCCAAAACCAAGAGCCAAATGCTCAACCAACTAAGCCACCCATCTCTCTCCTAAGTTTTAATCTCTGGGGAAGCAGAGAATGGAGGGATTCAGAGAGGAGGAACACATACAGGGGACCAGAGCCTTCAGATTCAGAAACTCTGTTGCTCCTTTAGTGTCCTAAACTTAAAAAGAAAAAAAAGAAAGTATGTAGAGTCTGCTGTCTGCTTTGCCTGACATCTTAATGTTGGTATCATTGGCTGTAATTTCGCTTAGGGAAAAAAAAATTAATCATGTGACCATTTTTTTCTATGTTAATATTCATGTAGGCAGGTTGGAAATTTGACAATTCTCTTAAATTATATGTCAGTATTTCAGGGCAAGACTGAAAGGACATGTGATAAAAAGAAAAAGCTAGGGCACCTGGGTGGCTCAGTCGGTTAAGCGTCTCCCTTCAGCTCAGGTCATGATCCCAGGGTCCTGGGATCGAGTCCCACATCGGGCTCCCCACTCTGTGGGGAGCCTGCTTCTTTCTCTCCCTCTGCCTGCCGCTCTCCCTGCTTGTGTGCATGCTCTCTTTCTCTCTCTCTCTCTGTGAAATAAATGAATGAAATCTTAAAAAAGAAAAGAAAAGAAAAAGCTGAAGTGTCAGTATAGAGCAATGGTCAATGACTTCTTTCTAGTATTTCTTATACTAATATTAATATTTATACTGATTTGTGCTACTATCAAGTAGGACGAGTGGCTGCAGATAAAAGAAATTTGGATTCCCCAAATAACAGTTTATTCCAGTCTTCATGGACATCTGAATTTCGGTAGTCCTGAGCCGTGATGGTGGTTTTGCTTTACTAAGATAAGACCTCAGGAAAAAGCTCCTTTTAGCTTTCTTTTCTCCCAACCCCAGGCGGTGGCCTCCTTCCCCTGGTCCAGTGTGACCAGTCACCATATCCATGTTCTCAGGAGCAAAGGGCATGCTCACATAGTCCTTTAAGGATGTTTTCTTGGAAGTTTTCCAGTAGCACTTCTACCTATGTCACTGGCCAAATCTTACACACACTGCTGCCTGCAGCTAAGAGAAAAGTTGTACAATGTGGTCTTTATTCCAGGCAGCAATGTGTCCCTGCCAAACATTGTGCTTCAACTACTTTGGATGAAGTGGAGAATAGATGGGGGAAGGTGGGCCACCAGAAGTCTCAACAATACAAACAATGAACGAATCCAGGAGAAAATATCTAGATTTATTTGATGACAACAGGTGATGGAAATGCTACTTCTTCATGAAGATTCTGTAGAGAAAAAAAGATATTTGCATGGAAAAAACCAGTGAACTTGCAGGGTTCTTTTCAAGGGCCCGCAGGCTCACTCAGCTTCAAGTGCATCACAGGATAGATGGGCTTTGGGGCCCATGGGCCATTTTCCTGAGAGGTGGGAAGCAGGGAGCCCTCATCCCAGAAGCTTAGAAAGCTGTAGAGCTGTAAGTGGCCAAATCCTGGTGGGTGGACTTGTCTGAGCAGCCACCAGCTTAGGATTGCTCCCCACACAAGTGCCTCTGTTATTTTGTGCAGTTCATCTCTAAGCATTGAAATGAGGACTCCCACCACTTCTCTTGAATTTACAGACTCCTCTGTGGGGATTTTTCTCCCTGCTAGTGAACTTCAATCTTCCTTTGTTCAGAATCTTTCTTCTTCCTGGGTTCTTATCCCTTCAATATGACCACAACCACAAGAATGTGATCTTTGCACACAACATTCACCAAATCCTGCAAAACAGCCTCAAGGGACCATTCCTAGTACTTAAGGAGATTTCTGTTTATTTCCTCTTCTTTCTTTGTCTGGCAAAGCCACCTTCATTGAGTGGGGATAGCTTTCCTGGCTTTTGTGGCATTTCTAAGCTGTAGTGAGCCTTAGATGAAAGGGGTTAAAAAAAGAAGGAAACAACAACAATAAAATTCTTAACTTTCCCTGAACTAATCAGCTGCATAATATTTGAAATACCGGTGTTCTGAGAGATAAAATAATGTTGGGTAAATATTTCACATGTACAAATAATTTCATTTCATAACTGTGTTTTAGAAATGCTTTGCTCTTAGTCAAACAGATTCACTATCTGCTTTTCTAAGTTAGGTTTCAATCTATACATCAAATGGGCGATGCAGTAGGACATTTTGGGAAGGGACTCAAGAAACTGTGAAGAATGGCTGCCTGTCTACACCCAGAGAACTGAGGTAATGGTAACTCCTGAGCCCCTCCAGGGTAAACTTTGACTTGCCCTTCAGCACACCTAAGTGCCAAGACTTGCACTCGGACAATGTCTCCTTAAAGTAATACAAAATGTAAAAAGAGATGGTGCACCTGGGTGGCTCAGATGGTTAAGCTTCTTCCTTTGGCTAAGGTCATGATCCCAGGGTCCTGGGATAGAGTCAAGCATCAGGCTCCCTGCTCAGTGGGGAGCCTGCTTCTCCCTCTGCCTCTCTCTCTATCTCTTATGAATAAATAAATAAAATCTTTTTTTAAAAAATGTAAAAAGAGAAAGAGGAGGTCCTTCTCCATCCCCATGTAAACTGACAGAGGCAGTGTGAAAAAAGCAAAGCTTTAGAGATAGGTATACCAGCCTGGGCTCAAATTCCAGGTCTTCACTTAGCTATACTTCGAGCCAGTTACTTAGCCCCTCTGATAAGAAGGCAATGAGCATTAAAAGTCAGCATGGGTTCATTTACTAAATCTTAGGTCAAACTAACAATTTTATTTTTTATAAGGTCACTACACTATGCGTAGACAGAATGCATTTTAATTTTGGCACACTATTAGAGAAAAATTTCAAGACATGCTTGTGGTCACAATGAATAACTGCAAACTGGATAGTTATTAAATGTGAGTTTGGAGCTGGTTGAACAACAACATACAAAAGTATGTATTAATGTATCAATTCCACCTGGAAAAAGTATCTCTGATAGTAGAAAAGTCTTGGCCCCTGTTGTATTCAAGATTTTCTCAACAACGTGAATAAAAATGTATTAAAAGCCTGGGTAGTTTAACAGATGACAGAATCAAAATTCAAAAATGATCTCAATAACCTAAAAGAGTAGCTGAAATAAGGGCTATTAAAAGCTGTGTAGAGTTCAGCATTTAGATTCATAGCTACCTGGCATATGGGTATCATACAGGGTTGGGGATGGTGTCAGGTCAGCATGACCAGAGGAAGTACACAGGACTCTCTTGGCTAGTACATATGGAGAGAGTCAGGGAGACGAGATGACCAGCTTGAAAGGGGTTCCATTGGCCAAAGCTGGGAAAATTTGAACAGCCAAATCTTAATGACTGTATGGGTTATAACCAGTTGAATAAAAAAAGAATCCATGAGCTTATATTGAGTAATTGAATGAATACGTGAGGCAGGAAAGTCTATGTTATAGTAGAACGCTAAGTAAGAAGTGTAGATGGAATGATGGACATAGAAAAAAAATCACCATTTGGCAAAAATCATAGTGATAATTGATTCAGATAAAAATCATCAATGGAAGTTAATACTGGTGGGTGGAAGTACACAATACTTAGTAATTAACTTCACAGTTGAGAAACCTGTCCATTTTATCTAAGTTTAAAAGTCAGTATCACCAGAAATAGGACAAATTGACATCATGTGCCTCCTGATATGATGTACTAAGAGGAACATGGCATCACGTACATGGCATTCCTGTCAAAAGTTAACAACTGGGATCTAATCATGAGGAAATGGAAGATAAATATAAATTGAGGGAAATTCTATCAAAATAACTGATCAGTCAAGGTCACAAAGGTGAAAAAAGGAAGGAGGAACTATTCTAGATTGAAGAGCCTAGACTAGAGACATGAACCAAAAAGGAAAGAGTGTTTATTAAGAATGCCATTGAGGAAATCAACAAAATTTGAATGGGATTTATGTATTGGGTGCTAATATTATATTGATATCAGCATCCTAATTTTGATTATTATAGTGTAGTAATATAGGAGGGTATCCTTGTGTTTTGGAAAACATGTAGGAGTAATCGGTGTCATATCCATAACTTACTCTCAAATTATTTAGCGAATTAGAGATAGTGAGAATGGGAAAAGGATGAAACAAACGGGGTAAAATGTTAACAATTGGGGAATCCAAGTAAAGGATGCACTGTTTCTACAGCTTTTCAGAAAGTTTTAAATAATTTCAAATACAAGTTTTTAAAAATCACTTACATAAGTTCAACTGAGACACATGAACTAGCAAAGTGTTAGAGGAGAAATTGCAACCTGAGAGTAGCTCAAGACTCATTCTACCTGACCCTCAGGTCTTGAAGAGTTCCCGCACCCATCTGGCCAAGTCAAAGGCGAACCTTCATGTCACGCACCATTTGACCACAAGTATGAGCAGTAAAGTAGTCAGCCAGGCTTCCTGAAGTCAGAAACTTGCATTAGTAAATGCTCTGACGACCAAAGCAGCTGCTCACTGGTGTCTATTTCTCTCTTGGCCACATGGTCACTCATCTCTGCTTTTCTCTGCATTGGCTTCTTCCATCTCTCTCTCTGCACATCAGATGGTCTTGCTTCTCTGTGCACACAGCAGAAAATGACCTTATGTATCTTTGCAAATGGTTGACAGAGAACGTAATTGGCCCAGTTGAGTCAGGTACCCACCCTGGCCTAGTCAACTGATGCAAGGAGGTTGGGGTGATGTAATCCTGCCTACTTGGCCTCAGGAGAATGTGGGAAGCAGACGTTTCAAGAAGAGGCACGAGCAGCCTATGTCAGCAAAAGAACAAATGAGCCAGAATTGGATGAAAGGCCCAGCTTGATGAGTGAAGAAGTCAAAGACATCTGGTTCTCTAGGATAGCTCAATATGCAGGTGCTAGAGCATGACCATACCACAGAAGACAGAACCCATCAAATCATCAGGAATACAATAGCAACAAATGTAGGCAGGTGTGTTGAACTAGTGAATCAAATACCAAATACTCAAATAGTCCTGCTGCTGTGAGCGATGTGTTTTCTAACATGGAAACTAGCTCTTGATGAAATTCTAAATAAAATGATGTACAATGTTTCCTTGATTTACATGGTAGTTGGGCACTTGGAAAATTCACTGCATTTTGAAAGCTTGCAAAAATATCTTGTGTTTAACATGGAAAGGGCAGTTAGGTTGTGTTTAACATGGAAAGCGCATGGAAATTGTTCAGTTGGAACTAGAGGTCGCCCACCTTTCAGTGCTGGTGTTTCTCTACAAGGCTTCCCTAGACATTTTGAAGAAGCGCAGTCAGACAAACAGGCTTTTAACCTACAGGAATATTCTGCTGCACAGTCCAAACTCTTGTAGGATGAAGGATCAGTCTTGATTATGTGGGACTCCCAGACATTGCAGCATGCCCAGCATCCTGGACCCCTCCCTCATGGCAGTAACCTCCCTCCAAATTATTATGTCAAGCCCAAAATGCCCCCACCTTCCTCCAGAATGCTCCCCAAGGCCAGTGTTAGCACTATTGATGACCACTAGTTTATTTTTTATTTTTTTAAGATTTTATTTATTTATTTGAGACAGAGAGAATGAGAGACAGAGAACATGAGAGGGAGGAGGGTCAGAGGGAGAAGCAGACTCCCCGCCGAGCAGGGAGCCCGATGCAGGACTCGATCCCGGGACTCCAGGATCATGACCTGAGCCGAAGGCAGTCGCTTAACCAACTGAGCCACCCAGGCGCCCGATGACCACTAGTTTAGAGATTAGTTTACCTCTGCCAGGAGTGGTCAGTGGGTGATTTCTGCTTTATTGGAAGCTTTGTCTAAGTAAATCCCTTCCAACCCTAACAGTCAACAAGCCCATGATTAAATCTCATGAAGCCATCACTTGTTCTCCTTCTGAAATATTACAGGTTTGTTTGTTTGTTTTTAAACTCCTTTGCTATTCAAGAAGATACTCAACTTTATGCCAATACTTAAAAGCTATGTTATTCAGGACAGGCCTCTTTTAGCTCCGAATAAGAAGCCACGCACTAAGGAGGAATTCACGATCTTAACTTGGAAATACAAGTGTGGAGCTGATTGCAGAAGAGCTTGCTCTGGGAATTGGGTGAGTCTTTGGGGTTTTGTCTGTCTGTCCCTCTCTTTCTCTTCCTCTTTCTCTCTTTTTTTCTTCCTCCCCTCTTCTTTTCCCTCCCTCTCGCCCTCTTTCTCTCTCTCTCTCTCTCTCTCTCTCTCTGTGTATGGGCTGAATGCAGGCTCTCTCCTGGTGATGGGCAGACAGCTACTGTCCATTCACATTCTATCTGTTCTGGGAAAGGCCTCTGCCTCTCCTCTCCTGCACCAAACTATGCCCACACGTCTAGGAGAAAACTAGGACTGGGAAAGAATTAAAATTATGAGTAGCTGTTTAGTGCCTCTATTCCCTAACTGTAAGATCTATGAGGACAAGACCTTGTCTTTCTTATTCATTGCCATATCTGAGCAACCAGCATGGCATTGCCCATTCTAGTCACTTAAAAAATACTGAATGAATGAATTGTTCAGTTGGAACTAGAGGTCGCCCACCTTTCAGTGCTGGTGTTTCCCTACAAGACTTCCCTAGACATTTTGAAAACATGGGCAAAAGGCAGCAGAAGCTGTGTGTTTTCTAAGCAGGCATTAGACTGGCTGATGGTGCAGAGATGTAGAAGCAAAATAGAGAAATCCAGTGGAAATCATCCTCTTCACTCCAGATCTACCCAAGGGGCTTCTCCACCCAGAATTATCCAAGTTCATCCTCATCTTCCTTTGGTCTGAGGAATCCTCATGGGAGACTAAAATCAGCATTAAAGAAATTGACTAATTGATTCAATTAGTATATTATTGAGGTCATTTCAACTCATTAAGCCACTTTAAAATTTCATTTTGGTTCTGTGTATCCTTCTACATATTGTTCTTTGTAGTGCACTAATAGAATTAGACATTGCACGGAGTCATAGTAAAAGGGTTCTTTTGCATCATCACAGACTCGAAGGCCAGTCTACACTCTATGAAGCACTTTGCCACACTTAAAAGCATGGCATTACATATTATTCTAAACATCTTCCAAGTCATAGGGGTCTTTTATTTTTCTTTATGTGAAATTAAAAAAATTAAGTCAGGTTGCATTTAAAATCAGAGCAGAACTGGGTGGGCCAGAATGCTAATGTTTAAAAAATGTGAACAACATCCTTAATATAGCTGTTTGTGACTAACCCAGTGGGTGTGACACCCAGAGGAAAACAATAAGCTCACTTATCACGAGTTTGAAAAGTTAGAGTTTAGAACTCTGTGCTATTTTTTTAACATAAAAATTATTCAAGGAATTACCCGTTTTATTTAAGAAAAGATTGTAGATGGAAAGTTAGGCATTTCCATTTTTAAATGGAAAAAAGTTTAGTGAACAAATCAAAAAAATGCAATCTATGCCCCTCTCCCAAATGTCATGTCTTTTAAAAATAGTGTCTTTTGTGGTGCCTGGGTGGTGCAGTTGATTAAGCATCTGCCTCTTGATTTCGGCTCAGGTTATGATCTCAGGTTCGTGAGATTGAGCCCTGAGTCAGGCTCAGTCCTGGGCATGGAGCTTGCTTAGGATTCTCTCCATCCCTCTCACTCTGCCCCACCCTACTGCATACATGTGCCCACACACTCTCTCTCAAAAAAAAAAAAAAAAAATTGGGGGGGGGGAGCGCCTGGATGGCTCAGTTGGTTAAGCATCTACAGGGTCCTGGGTTCGAGCCCCACGTCGGGTTCTCTGCTCAGCGGGAAGTCTGCTTCTCCCTCTCCCGCTGCCCCTCCCCCCTGCTCATGCTCTCTCTCTCTCAAATAAATAAATAAAATCTTTTAAAAAATTGTATCTTTTGCTAATGATCTCATTTTACTGCAACTGCTATAGCAAATACAATGTATATCCAACAGCAGAATCAATTCCATGAACAACTTTTACCTTTGTAGCAAAACTGGTCTTATAGTCAATCTATAGGTACACTTTATAAAAATCACTAAAGTATAGCCATAGTTTAATCTATTGATCATCCAAATGCCAGGCAATTTCTAAGCACTTTGTCAACAGCACGTTTAACTCTCACAAGAAATCATTTGATAGGTACTTCTATAAATACCCCCATTTTACAGATGAGAAAACAAAGACTTGGAGAAGCTGAATAACCAGTCCAAAGTCACACTGCTAATCAGAGTTGGAGCTGGGACTAAAATTTGGGCTCACTGACTTCTAGTCACAGTTCTGCATTGCCTCTTTGGACCTATGCAGTGTATTTCACAAATGCACATACTTCTGCGTTTATGTACAAAGGAGATTGTAGAATTGAGACAAATATTCAACACTCTTCTTAATGATCCATCTTTTCAATGCAATTTAAAAAATTACCTTTTTCAGTCACTTGTGAGCATCACTATACTATAGCCATGAATAAAATGGCTGAGAAGACAATCTAACCCCAAAGATGAATTTGAGATATGAATTGCACAAGTACCATGCATGACCTACCCAAATGGAAATGATTGAAAAACCACTTACGTGTTTGCCCCCTTGGGCTTCTGGATCTTCTAATCAGAGAGGGCCCACCCTAGCTACAAAAGAAGAAGGAGAAAGAGAAAAAAAAAGAAGTGTAAGAATGTCTGAACCCATATAAATTAACTATATTTTCCTATTTTCTGTATTTCTGACATTCTGGCATCTGGGCCCTTGCTGATCAGGGTTAGCTCATTTCTAGAGAAGCCAGATACCTCAGAACAGTCCCTACACCCCACAGCCTGCTGACATTATTCAAACTACCAAATCCTAAGCCCGCTTACCATGCCTCACCCATTCCTTCCCGTGAAAACCACAATAAAGGTTTTGCCTCTTTTCCCCTTGCTTCCTCTGCTTCTTGACTCACCCTGGTGCTTCCCTATGTGCCCCTCCATGGCATGCCATGACGCTTGTTTCTAGGGATTTGTGGGTATAAAAAAATTATTCCTTTATATCAGTCATGACTGTGTCTGTATATCTTACCATACTTGATTAAAAGAAATCTGGGGTACATTTTAAAACACACATCCTAAATGAGAATTAATATGTGTACAATAAATCGATGAACTATGAAGTCTGCTCAGTGGGTTTCAAGGCTGTTCATTCATTCCACAGGCATTTCTACAATGCATATGATGTGCTGGAGACACTCTGCTAGGCACAGTTTCCCAGTAAGTTCCCAGCACAATCATTCCCTCTCTGCTGGATATTCCGGTAAGTGGTTCAGAGACATCAAAATCTACCTACATGAAAATGAAATCAAGGAGTTCACCATGGCCTTCTCTCCAGCAGTGGTGTGGATGCAGGGAACCTGGAATTATGTTCCCTGACTCCTCCATGGATTTTTGTACCTGAACATGCTCATGAAAGCTGCAGGTATTATCATTTATCTCATTTGAACAATTACCAAATGTGCGACGTGCATTCAAGTTGTTCATTAATTAGCTGCAATGGTTACTTAAAAGCAAGATGTAACACAAAGGGGTTAATTAAGATCTCCAAATTCCAACTTGGTACTGAGGACAAAGACAGCTTCTTGTTCAAGATTCCCCAAATTGGGCATAGCTTCTGTGTTTTAAAGTCGGTGGCTAGCCTAAATATCTATTCATCTTCAATCTCATAGTTTCTGAGTTTGAAAAAAATACACTGAAACAAAGATGATGGATAGGATGAGATAAAGGCCCTGTTCATACAATTAAAATAATGGCTCGTGCAAATTGGGTCAATGATTTGGGATTTTTTTCCAATGGCAGATTTATCATCAATGATTGAAAGAGAAAAAAGAAAGTCAAAATATTGGCTGGATAAGACAATAGCCTTAATGTGCTCCTAAACATAGTGACTGTGGAACAACAATTTATCAGGATTTTATAGTCAGTATTAAGCAGACAGAATTTAACACACAAATTTGCCTCCAATTAACCAGTAGGTGTCACTGTTTAAATGTATTGGCAACAGTCTTCCAACGAGTTCTATGTAAGGAAGCTCAACAGAAAAGAATCAAACACTTTTGAGTAACTTACAACTTGTTCAAACCCACATAGAGAATGCTTACAAACCCATACTCATAATTTGTAATTCAAATTAAGTAGTGACTTGATTTCTTATTGTTAAAACAATTATTGGAAAATCAGTCTAAACTTAGCGGTGGTATACCCACAAATGATTCAAATTCAAAATTTTTTACAAATTTTTAAAAACAAAGAGTCTAATATAACAGGCCTACTTTTCATGGGAAAGTAAAGATGCTGCTACATTTTAGGACAGGATTTCGATTTTTAAGAACTATTGACGTTCTCTAGCTCTCTGTATATAATTTTGAGTGAAAGAAAACATTACGTTTACATGTATGGAAGAAGATGGGGGTGTATAATTGTATCCACCACCTATGTACAATGAGTCTTGTATGAACTTGTCTGTCCAGGGAGATCATGAATGTAAAAGTGTTTTTGAAAAATTGCAAAGTGGTTTTTACATGCAAGGTAAGACTTCTTCCCACTTACACAGTGTGGTTCTTCTGTACTTCCCACAAAGAGTGGCTCCAGAAAAGGGAAGAGAACTGAGACGTATGAAACACCTACTTTTGTGAGAAGGCATTATTATGAGAACAATATAAATTAATAATATTAATAATGCTTGTTTTTATTATTATCATTAAGAAGGCGTTATTATAGTTCATTTAGCTTTACAACCACTCAGTGGGGTAAGTATTATTTTCCTATTTGCAAATGGGAAAAGGCAGACTAGTAGCCTGAGAAAATTGGGAAACCTGTCTTACCCCAAAGCCTGGGTTCTTTCTACTGAGTCACCATGTGATTTGAATGTTTATAAATTGAATTGTATTCTTCATGTTTGCTGCAGTAAATCAAAATTCAGTTAGAGAATCCTGCTAATGAGAGAAAACCAGTGATAAAACATTATGCAGAGAAGGAAATAGTAAAGTAAAAGATTCCACCTAAATTAGTATGTGAAGATTGTGGTTAAGTAGGCCCTACATACTAATCAATAGAAAACTTGTGATTCAGCGCCCTAGGATCTATCTAATAGATTCTCTTGTTTCTAGACCAGCAGTCTTCAGACATCATTTCATCCCTCTTTGTGGCATCTCAGAGTAACGTGGCAGAATTTCAACAATCTTAAGAAGAATACTCATGAGTCTTTTACTATCTCTGCTAATGCAAAGTAACTGGTTAATACAAACTAGAAGCCTGACTTACAATATAGTTTCAAAGAAACAAAGTAAAACTCCACACTACTCTTTCCCTATTCTTGGTAGAACTGTTCCATATTTGCACTTGAACATAGTAAGACGAACACTTAAATTAGCACAAGCTCCTATGCTCAAGCTGGAAAGGCTTCAAATCAATATGGTTTTGTTTGTTTGTTTGTTTGTTTTTCTCTTGCTTGGCCTTTAAGGAGAAAGGGAGAGGGACACTGAGCTCAGTTGAATTGGCTATGGACTGAATTAAGTAATCTTCACCCAAAAATATTTCCTTCCAATTCAATATGCTCCCCCTCTTCCAAACCTATACAGACAGACCAAGAGTTTCTATGTCGATAGAGAAACTTCCAAATGCAACACTAATCAGGTTGTTTCTTGTTTTGAATTCTTTAGTGGACTTCAGAGACCATACTTCATGGTTTCAAGATGGCTTACCTCACCTGTACCTCTCTCCCTCCCCTCCCAGAGCCCTACTTCTCTTCCTTTCATTCCCAACTAAAGCTGACACTCTGGGAAAGAGGGCTTCCCACACTGCTCCTTTAGCATCTTGGACATAATTCATATTTTGTCATTATAAATGTGGCTCAATAAAATCTATCCCTCACTAACTGAGCTCTGTGAGACAGATGCTGGGTTATTTATCTGCACATCCCAAGTGTCTAACAGTGACTGGCTCATAGCCAGTTCTCAGATGCTGGCAGGATGCTCATTTCCAAACTACTTAGACACTCTTTCTTTTCCTCTTTCCTTCCCTTCTTGAACAATTCAATTCTAAAGCCATTAGATAGGCTCAAGCAAGGTAAATTTTACATTGGCAAGCTTAGGGAATTACAAATATGGATAGAAAAACTAAAACAAAATCTACGATGGTGCAACAGAATTGGAGGTGTTGGTATAAACTCCTGGATATAAATATAAGTAGAGAGTAGGTAAATATAAATATGCACACACACATACATACACAGTCCCTAATTCTGTTCACTCAGACAGCCTGGGAACAGTAACACATCAAAAGTATGAGCACATCTAGACTGAGGTCTTGGTTTCTAATTACCATTCTCTGCTAAAGAGAACCAAGGATCTTTTGAAAATGGCTGATTCTAGGACTGGGTCACAGAAAATACAAGGTAAGCATGGAATATGTTGGACTAGGAAGTAAGGAAGTGCTAAAGAATGATGGAGACATGTCAAAAGTCAGCTTAAATGGTTTCCCACTGACCAAATCTGGGACACTGTGAGCATCAAACAAATATAGAATGGATTGTAACCGTTTATTCAAATAGGATACCATAAGTGCATACTTAGATTACTTATGATTCCATAAATACCTGAATAAAATGGAAAGTTTGATGAGTTAGGATATTTATAAAGCTTCAAAGCACTTTCTCCCAAAATATGTATTAATCACAAAGGGAAAAAGAGTGAATTTATAGTGGTGAAGCCTGGCAGAGGCTTAATCAAGTGAATTAAGTTCAGTTAACAGGACACATCAAAATCACTCCACCTAGAGGATGCAATGTGATACTTCTGTGATACTCTTGCTACAGAAACACAACCTGAATCTAATCAGACAAATCCAAACTGACAAAGGGACATTCTACAAAATGGTTGGCCTGTCGTCTTCACAAGTGTCCCGATCATGAAAGTCAGAAGACACCGAGGAATTGTTACAGATTGAAGAAGCCTAAGGAGATGTGACAGGAAATGCAATACATTATCCTGAACAGGAGCTTTTTACTACAAACGACAACCAGTGATTGAATGCGGTTTGGGCAGTAGATGTAGTAAATTATCATTAATTTCCTGATTTTAATGGTTGTATTGGAGCATCTCGTCGGTATCTTATTGTCAAATGATTTTTTTAAGTGTTCTTTGCACTGTAGTTGCAACTTTTTCCTCTAGGTTTTAGATTACTTTCATATTTAAAAAGTATTAAAAAACAAAGTAGACCATGCCGTTAGTATTTTAAAATTCTAAGCCGAACGCAAGTTAGAGTCCTAAGATTTTAGAGCTGTGATGCATACTGTCTCCGCCTTCAAGGAGCTAATGGAAGAACTGCGTGCACACAATTAATTTTGCTAAAAGGAAAATGGGAGAGATTGATCTCTGACTTTTCTGCAGGGGCAGCTTTCTAACTAAGCTTTCACAGCAGAGGCGCCCGCCCCCGCCCGGCCGGCTCTCGCTCTGCAGCCGGGAACCCGAGCCCGGCTGCGCCGCCGAGTCCCCACCCCGGCTCGGCCCAGCGAGCCGCTGACGCCGCGCAGCCCCGGCCGGGGAGACGCTCGCCGGACGCCCGCCCGCCCGCCCGCCCGCGCCCCACGCCCCACGCCCCACGCCTCCCCGCCCGCCCGCCCGCCCGCGCCCCACGCCCCACGCCTCCCCGCCCGCCGGCCCGCCAGCCCCCCGCCCGCCGGACGCCCGCCCGCGCCCCCCCGCCGGCCGGCCCGCCAGCCCCACGCCCGCCGGACGCCCGCCCGCGCCACCCCCCCACCCCCGGCCCGCCCGCCAGCCCCCCGCCCGCCGGCCCGCCAGCCCCCAACCCCAGCCCGCTGGCCCTCGCCCAACTCGCTCGCCGCGCCGTCTCCCGCCGGCGGGAAGCGAGGCCGCGCGACGTGTGTGTTGGGGGGAGGAGTGGGGAAGGGTGCGTCTCTCCCAGCTAGAAGGCGGAATTCTTGGGCCCAAGGCACGGTGTGCTCGGTGAAATTTGGTCAACGAATAAATAAAATTTTTAAGTAAAAAAAAAAAAAAAAAGCAAACATCTACCAGGAGTGGGGTTCGAACCCACGCGGACATTGTCCATTGGATCTTAAGTCCAACGCCTTAACCACTCGGCCATCCTGGTTCAGGCGAACGGTCTGCTTTTCACTCTTCCTACAAGCTGTATTCCATCGTCCTCGCACCCTCCCTCAAGAATTTCTGAGGATCCTTCGCTGCCGCTTTCCCGGTTTTCCCATCCCGAGCTGGAGCGACCTCCCCGCCAGAGCCTCCGTTTTCCGCCGCCGCCGCCGCCGCTCACTGTTGCCCCCGGCCCGGCGCGGCAGCGAGGGCAACTGCAGCCGAGTTCGGCGCGCTGCTGGCGGCGGCGCTCGGCTGCTCGCTCCGGGGGAACTCGGGCGCAGCCCGTCGTGCTTTCGGTTTCGAGGGGCGCGGGCGCGGGCAACAAACACACTCGTAAACTTCGGGATTCCTAGCGGCACGTTTTGGAGGCGCGCGGGAATGGCGGCGCAGGGACGGAGCCCCAGGGTGGGCTTTGGTTGGTTTTATTCTGAGTAGAATAAACTTCAAGGAATGAGTGGCACGGGCAGCAGCACCGCTTTTCTTCCTCACAACTCACCCAGGAAGGAAGTTTGTGGAAATTCGCGTCTGTACCGCGCCACGCCACAGGCAGGGAGTGTGGTACAGGTGGCCCTCCCGCTGGCTGCGGGCACCACACCTGCTGGCTGCACGGCCTCAGGGGCAGCGAGGGCCTTGTTCCCACGACCGCTTGGGCACTTGGAAGTTTAGTAGGTTCTCTTCGTTGTTCTGCGGTGCTCTCCCTCCGTTCTGCGCACAGGAGATTCCGTTTGTCCTGTCACCTCCTTTCCCAGGACTGCCACGGCGTTCCCCACCACCCAGGACCTCGAACCCGCCACAGAGCCAAGGCTCAGGTGTTCCGCAGTCGGGGAGCCGGGGGCCCGAGCGCAATCCGGCGGCCACGCCCTGGTTCCTACAGCGTAGGCGGCTGCCTTTGACCAAGAACTTCTGTCATCCGGGAGACTTCACAGTTTCACCTTACTGTTGGGACCTCGCCGACTGGCTCGTCGCCCGCTGGGTCACAAGGTAAGAAACCCACGGCCCTGCTACCTCCTCGAACTTCTGTGACCCCCGGGCATATTGCCCTGACCTGGGGAGGCTGTCACTCAGCCTCCGAGTTCCAGCTAAGAACATGGACGGCCCCTCTTCCGGGCAACAGCCGGTGGCATTGCCCCTACTCACTTGGCCACCTAACACTGTGAGGTACAGGGGCGTGCGTCTGCTCCCAGCCTCCACCGTATCCCCTCTGCTGAGCGCGAGGCCTGGCCCACCCGAGCACGCCGACCAGAGCATTAGACCTGGCCGGCTCTGCCGAGAAAAGAAGGGGAACTTAGATCTTGCGGGGGTCTAGAGACATCCATGCGGTGATGACACAGGATCACCCCCTCCTACTGCCATCTCCATCTTACCGCACCAAATCGTCAAGAAGCATCAGATTTCATGAAATTGGGCTTTCAGAGTACTTAAAATGGTAACAATAAAAGAATGTACTGAGTACTCACTATGTGGCAGTCATTGCTCTAAGCTCTTTACATATATTATCTCATCTGATTTTTTTTTAACAAGCCTGTATAGCAAGTGTTTATATCACCATGTTCAGGTTTAAGAAGCCCAGTTACAAACTCACCCAAATATAAGAAGATGCCTCCTAGACATGCTCCCTGCACCTCAAGGCCATTACAGACCTTCCCCACCATCCAGCCATCAAATCCTCCATGATCTTCTGGAACACGGCAATATACTATCTGAATGATAGTTTTATTTAACCCCAGACTTAGCCTCCAAAAAGCCTCTGTATAAACCAGTTCTGAACAACCCTGCCACACCATAGGGTACCCAAGTTCCTCTTCGGTGGCCTTGAGATGTATTAAATTTCTTTGGCCGCTGTTTAAGGATGGGCAGGAACACAGATTAGTCTAGTCAGAGATGCAGGTAGCTGAGCTATTGCAGAAGAGAAAATTTCGGTCTGCTGAGTGGCAGACTATATTTTTCCCAAGAGGACCACAACAATATCTCCCACCCCACGTGTGACTTCATCTTCCTCCACTGTGATTTCGACACCCATACCGTCAAAACATAGAGTCTGTGTTCTTCCTCACTGAACTTGGGAAGCCTTGGGTCTGTGGCAGAGGGGCGGTCTGTGACTTCTGAGGTCATTCACCTTGTTCTCTTGGGATTCTTGCTCTGGGAACCCAGCCACCAAACCGTGACAAAGCCCAAGTAGCCACATGTACTTTTACCAGCCAACAGCCCCAACCAACAGTCAATATTAATTGCTGCAAATATAAGTGAATGAGCCTTCAGTTGAATCTAGCACATCGCCATCAAGGGACCCAGCTGTTGAATATTTCCAGCTAAGTCCCCAGATCATGGAACAGGGACAAGCTACAGTATCCTTTTCCAATTTCTAACTCACAGACTCTATGGGCAGAATAAAAATGTTATATATATATTTTTGTGTGCCACTAAGTTTTTGTTTGTTTGTTTTTTTAATGAAACAGTAGTTAATGAAAATTCTGAGACTGATAAACTGGGATAGTGTAGTGGAGTTCCACAGTCGGGGAGTGGAATGTTACATAGAAACAGGCTCTCTGATACGAAAGCCAGCACGGGAAAGCAGCATCTTGAGATGAAGAGTCCAAGTGTGAGTCCATCACTGGAGTTCTTTCCCTCCTCCTTATTGGCAACCTGATCCTGGGCGATGCTGCCCTTTTCCAAATTGACATCCTTCCTGGGATGTCAATTGGGTAGAGGAACACAAGTTGTATCCGGAGGTCCTAGCCACAGGAAGGTTAGGAAGCAAAGTCCTGGCTTTTCTACCTTAGGACGCAGGCATTCCCCAAACATCAGAAGGGTGTTCAGAAGATGCTGGCAACTGCAAGGCATGACAAATATCCACTTGAGTGTTGGAACAAAATGTGAAAAGCACTATGCAGTGACATTTGTTATAACTGACAATATTAGGAAGCAAGTGACAATATTAAGACAAATTCTGCAACATTGAAATGGCTTCACATTCAGGAAATTGCATTTGACATACTTCTTATGGGCAAATGTTTTACTCTAAAGTATTTTTCACTGTGCATGTGTGTTTATTTAAGCCATGATATTCTTTATGCATTTTTTTTTGGTGATTTAAAAATGTGTTCACAAATGCATTGACAGTCCTCCCTTTAAGAGATGGAGCTTCCCTTGCAATGTGGGCTGAATCCAACGACTCATTTCTAACGAATAGAATAATACAGAAGAGGTGATATACAACCTCAGAGACTAGGTTATCAATGCTGCTAATGTCTTGGTTTCTCTCCCTTGGATCTTTTCCTCCGGCAGAAACCAACAGTCATTTCATGAGCAGCCCTTTGAGAGGCCCATGTGGTGAAGAGCACCCAACAAGGAACTGAGGTCCCGGATGAGCAAACTTGGTAATGGATCCTCCTGCCCAGTCGAACCTTCTGATAACTGTAGCCAACATCTTGACTACAACCTTATAAGAGACCCTGAACCGGAACCACCAGCCAAGCTCTGATTTCCTGACCCTCAGAAACTATGTAAGATAATAATAAATATTATTTATTTATTTAAATGAATTATTAGCTGCTAAGTTTTATGTTATTTTTATGCAGCTATAGATGACTAATACACATACCAGCTAGTTTTTCTAGTGCGGATGATATATTCATGAGCATATATTTTGTTTTCACATATATATTTTAGAAGAATAATCTTGCTGACCCCTTTGCAAACATCCAATGTTCCTTTTCCCATTTGCTCTTCAACTCTTGAATGGATTACCCATTTACTTTCAGTTTTTCCCCCAGAATCCTCTGATGTGTGGCTTCTACACTGACTTCTCTCTCTCTTTATTTTTTCAGAATGAAAATATCTTTCCTAAAACAGATTCACATTAAAAGTTAAAGTAGCATGAGTTACCCCTTTCCACCACCCCTGAAATCCCAGTTATACAAGTTGGGAACCGCTTGTCCCTTGAAGATACTAAGCCATTTTCTGTCTCTCCTCTGCCTTTCCCATGCTGCTTTTTTTTTCTCATTTTTTAAAATTTAAATTCAACTAGCCAACACATACATCATTAGTTTCAGGTGTAATGTTCAATGATTCATCAGTTGCGTATAACACCCAGTGCTCAACACATCGTATGCCCTCCCTAATGTCCATCACCCAGTTACCCCATCCCTCCACCCACTTCCCCTCCACGAACCCTCAGTTCATTTCCTAGAGTTAAGAGTCTCTCATGGTTGTCTCTCTGATTTCTTCCCATTCAGTTTTCCTTCCCTTCCCCTATGATCCTCTGCGCTGTTTCTTATGTTCCGCATATAAGTGAATAATCTCATGAATCAATTTCTGACTGACTTATTTCACTCAGCATAATCCTCTCCAGTTCCATCCATGTCGATGTAAATGGTAAATATTTATCCTTTCTGATAGCTGAGTAATATTCCATTGTATATATGAACCGCATCTTCTTTATCCGTTCATCTGTCGATGTCCCATGCTGCTTTTATCCACCTAATTCTCCTCCAAGACTCCACATAAATCCTCCTTTCCCACCGCATATCTAATTGTAAAGTGAAATGAGTAAGTATAAGTTAGACTTTCCTGAAAATATGAGTGTACAAAACTCGGGAAGTTCCAAGTTACACTTTTAGAAGCATCTTTCTCACTCTGCCGGATCTTGTTTATCATAATAAAAATTAAGCTATGTCATATCATTAAGAATATATTATTCTTGGTGACAGGATTTTCTGTTTAAGTACTCACAGATTTAAATTTTTGTATCAAATCTTGTGAGATATAGTACACATGTATCCTCTATAGTAAGCAGCATATAAATCAGCCTTTTTGTCTGAAATCAAGGGCTGTCATTTATGACAGCAACAATTTCTCTGAGCTCTAGCTAAAACAAGAGGCAGCAGGAGATCGTAACGTAAGGGTACTGTTTAGACTGTGGAATCATAGACCTAGTTCCAATTCCAAATTTTTCCTAGCTGTGTGAGTAAAATACTCAACCTCCTCAAGTCTCAGTTTCCTCACCTGTAAAATGAGAATAATAATGTCTACTTCGGAGAAAATGTGAGAATTCAGTGAATTAATGTATGCAAAATATCTAGCTCGGTGGTTGGCTGGAGGTAGGCTCCTGTTGGGGTGATAGTCAATATCTGTTACTTTTTTTTAAAAAAGATTTTATTTATTATTTATTTCAGAGAAGGTGGGGGAGGGACAGAGGAAGAAGGAGAGAGAATCTCAAGCAGACTCAAGCTGAGCTCCGAGGCTGATGCTGGTGATCCCACGACCCTGAGATCATGACATGAGCCGAAATCAAGAATCTGACATTCAACCCACTGGGCCACCCAGGTGCCCCCAATATTTGTTACTTTTTGAACAGCCATTCCTGTTTTGATTTCAGGCAAGGTAGATGCCTCTCCCTGTCCCAGGGGACAAATTATTATTGGTCTAAGGTGATTATCATGTCATCCATTATGCCAATAATGAGTTTGGGCAGGAATAAGTGATCCAGTTCTGGCCAGTGAGAGATAAGGAAAGTTGGGTGGGGGTTCTGAAAAAGATGTTCGTTCTGGATAAAAAAACAAAGCCTAGGGAAGTGAAAAGCTTGTACTATTCCTTCCTTTTTTCTCCTTGCCTTCAATGAGATGGTGTGAAGGTGAAATTATTGGAGCTGTGTTAGCCATCCTGTGACCATGAGGGGACAAGCCTAGGGATAATCAGCTAACGCCCAAAGGTGTCAGAAGGGTAAATTAGAGAGAGACCTTGCCCTTAAAGACCTTAGTGAGCCACGGCCAACCAGAAACCACACACCTCCAATCTGCTTCTCATGCAAGCAAATGAACATGTCTTTAAATAGAAGCCACTGGCTCTCGGAGTGACAGGAACACCCGGGAATTTGTTGGAAATGCAAATTCTCGAGCCTCACCCCAACTTCTTGAATGCACACTTGGGTTGGGTGATCTGAGGCAGAACCAGGTTTTAGAGTCTCCGTTATCACAGGAGGGTTTCTGCCAAAGCACTCCTGACCCAAAGCATTCCCGAGGGCCCCTACGGTACATGTGGAATGCATGAAGGTCTCCACAGTATTCCTGCAAAGGCACTTCCTCAGTTGATTCCCCACCTTTGGCTTGATTTCTTAACTCTTACCTCTTTCTCTAGGGTATACTTGTTGTCTTCTTGTATTTAAAGAGGCATATCAGTTGTTGTGTGGAACCCTGAAACTGCCTCCTCCTAAGGTGTGCCTTGTCCTGAAGAGAATCTTTACTTTGACTTTACCAGAAATCTTTCACTTCCTAGCATCATTCTAACACCCTTTTATTTCAACATCACTTGAATGCTTCAAAGTCCAGGTTACTTTTAAACCCCTTTTTTTCTTTTCTTTTCTTTTATCTTCTTTTATTTTATTTTCTATTGAAGTATAATTAACATGCAGTGATACTAGTTTCAGGCATACAATATAATGATTCAACAATTCTGTACATTACTCAGTGCTCAAGATAAGTGTACTCTTGATCTCCTTCACCTATGTCACCCGTCCCCCAACCCACCTCCCCTCTGGCCACCACCAGTTTGTTCTCCATACTTAGGAGTCTGTTTTTTCGTTTGTCTCTTTTTTAATTTCTTTGTTCATTTGTTTGTTTCTTAAATTCCACATATGAGTGAAATCGTATGGTATTTGTCTATCTCTGTCTGACTTATTTCACTTAGCATTATACCCTCTAGATCCATCCATGTTGTTACAAATGGCAAGATCTCATTCTCTTTAATGGCTGAGTCATATTCCATTGTGTCTATATACCACATCTTTATCCATTCATCTATGGGTTGCTCTTATATCTTGGCTATTGTAAGTCATGCTGCAATAAACATAAGGGTGTGTATATAACTTCAAATTAGTGTTTTCCTATTCTTTGGGTGACTACCCAGTAGTGAAATTACTGGATCATAGGGCAGTTCTATTTTTAATTTTTTGAGGAAACTCCATCCTGTTTTCCACAGTGACTGCACCAGTTTGCATTCCTACTAACAGCACACCCGGATTCCTTTTTTTCCACATCCTCAGTAAAATGTCATTTCTTATCTTTTTGATTTTAGTTATTCTTTTTTTTTTTTTAAGATTTTATTTATTTATTTGACAGAGAGAGACATACCGACAGCAGGAACACAAGCCAGGGGAGTGGGAGAGGGAGAAGCAGGCTTCCTGCAGAGCAGGGAGCCCGATGTGGGACTCGATCCCAGGACCCTGGGATCATGACCTGAGCCGAAGGCAGACGCTTAACGACTGAGCCACCCAGGCGCCCTGATTTTAGTTATTCTGACAGGTGTGAAGTGAAACTCATTGTGCTTTGGATTTGCATTTCCCTGATTATGAGTGATGTTGCACACTTTTCATTTGTCTGTTGGCCATCTGTAGGTCTTCTTTGGAAAAATGTCTGTTCAGGTCTTCTGCTCATTTTTCGTCAGATTATTGGAGTTTTTTTGGTGTTGAGTTGTAGAAGTTCTTTATATATTTTGGATATAACCCCTTATTGACTATATCATTTGCAAATATCTTCTCCATTCAGTAGATTGCCTTGTCACTGTGCAAAAGCTTTTTTTTTTTTTTTAAAGATTTTATTTATTTATTTGACAGAGACAGCGAGAGAGGGAATACAAGTAGGGGGAGTGGGAGAGGGAGAAGCAGGCTTCCCGCTGAGCAGGGAGCCCAATGTGGGGCTTGATCCCAGGACCCTGGGATCATGACCTGAGCCAAAGGCAGCCGCTCAACCGACTGAGCCACCCAGGGGCCCCTGTGCAAAAGCTTTTAATTTTGGTATAGTCACACAGTTTAATTTTGCTTCTGTTTCCCTTGCCAGAGAAGACATCTTAAAAAATGTTTCTACTGCTGATGTCAGAGAAATGATTGCCTGTGTTTTCTTCTAGGAGTTTTATAAATTCTTTAACCCATTTTGAGTTTATTTTCATGTATGGTGTAAGAAAGTGGTCCAGTTTCATTCTTTTGCATGTTGCTGTCCAGTTTTCCCAGCACCATTTGTTGAAGAGACTGTCTTTTCCCCATTGCATATTCTTGCCTCCTTTGCCATAGATTAATTGACCATATATGCAAGGGTTTATTTCTGGGCTCTCTATTCTTTTTTTTTTTTTTAAAAGATTTTATTTATTTATTTGAGAGAGAGAGAATGAGAGACAGAGAGCATGAAAGGGAGGAGGGTCAGAGGGAGAAGCAGACTCCCTGCCGAGCAGGGAGCCCGATGCGGGACTCGATTCTGGGACTCCAGGATCATGACCTGAGCCGAAGGCAGTCACTTAACCAACTGAGCCACCCAGGCGCCCTGGGCTCTCTATTCTGTACCATGCATCTGTGTGTCTGTTTTTATGCCAGTACCATACTGTTTTGATTACTACAACATTATTCTAACGCCCCTTTGTTTCAACATCAGTTAAATGCTTCAACATCCAGGTTACTTTAACACCCATTCTTTATCTCAGTTATATTATGAAGAAATATAGCATAGATTTTCATTATTTAAATTAGTGATCATATTATCACTAAACACCATCAACACTAGGATATATTTTCTCATCTGAAGGTGAGAATGAAAAGCCATCTGTTTGCTTACATTGGGGATTACCAAATACTTGCCAGACACTTTTTTTATTTTTATTTTTAAAGATTTTATTTATTTACTTGACAGAGAGAGCACGAGTGGCGTGAAGGGGGAGAGAGAGAAGCAGACTCCCCGCTGAGCAGGGAGCCCCATGTGGGACTCGATCCCAGGACTCTGGGATCATGACCTGAGCCAAAGGCAGAGCCACCCAGGCGCCCCTCACCCCCCTTTTCTTTTGCCAGACACTTTTAGATACCTGAGCATGCCATTCTTCTGGATTTCAAATAACACAGTTGGTGGCTGAGCATGTGTGAAGTTAACCAACCCTGACTCTCCCAAAATTGTTTGTGGTGAGGCTCTTTCAGACAGCTGTGGATCATAGATACCATAAAGACATGTGAGGGGACACGGGACAAAGGGCAGGGGAAAGGAGCTTGTAATGCCTCTGCCTTCTATCCCCCAGCTCTCGGGGAGCCAAGTACTGGGAAGTCTCAGTGGGCATTTTGCCAGGGACACTTGGCTTCTTCCAGTGGGGCTCTTTACTCCCTGCTCCCCTTTTTCCGACCTCATCTTTTGTTTTCCAACTTTATTAGAGACAAATTTTGTTTTATGGAGCACTGTGGCAATGTCACTTCACTGTGAGAAGCATTTTACATGTGTTATCTCATTTCATTCATTTTATCTAACTTCCCCCATTCCTCTTTTAGTTCTTCATTCTTCAAGTGTTCAGCCTCTATCTTGTTTCCCTTACATTGCCTTTATATTTCCATTAAAAATATTCTTGCTTTTTCATCCTTTTGAATTTTTGCTTATTCCCAGTTTAGTTGAGGATTTTTTAAATCTATGTTCGTGTTTTTATTTTATTTTACGTGTGGTAGCTTTTAATTTTTATCTTATAATTAGATGTGATCGTTGGATCTTGTGACAGCTTGTTTTCACTACATTTGTAGTTTAACCTTTATATTTTAATTTCTACATTTTAGTTTTTCTTAATTTTCTCCCTTCCTTGTGATATTTTACTTTAAATTGTTCATTTGTCCTTAGGGATATTTATTTTACTTTGTGTTTTTGGCTAGTAAGAAATATGGCCTCAGGAAGAGGCAGTGAGGAAAGAAAGAACACATTCTCGGTCTCCATGGGCTTCACACCGAGGAGAGGGACAGTCTAACAAAAGGCAGGGTCTTTCTGCAGCCACTCAGAATGGGGGCTCAGACTAAACTGGTTGGATTTTATTTTAATTTTTAAAAATATTTTATTTATTTATTTGAGAGAGGGCACACCCATAGGCACAAAAGCAGGGGGAATGGGAGGGGAGAGGAGAGAGAGGGGGAGGGAAACAGGCAGACTCCCACTGAGTCGGGAGCTGGACAGCGGGCTCCATCCCAGGATCCTGAGATTATGACCTGAGCCAAAGTCAGATGCTTAACTCACTGAGCCCCCCAAGCACCCCTAAACTGGTTAGATATTAAAGGGCAGGGTCAGCTTAGAAAACTGTCAAACAAGGGGACATCCAGATTATATATATCAGATATATGTTGGGTGACCATATAATTTGTCATCCAAACACAGACACTTGTGAAAATGAGAAAAGGAACCATTAAACATGATGCAGGGATACCAGGCCTGCAGAAGCTGTCCTGGGTAGCTTACCTATGTAAAAGAAATATGTGTGAAAGTTTAAACCCAAATGAATTAGTATCGGATCTGCACCTGGTAGACATTCATTTTTTTAAAGATTTATTTATTTATTTGAAAGCGAGAGAGAGCATGAGAGTGAGTCTGGGGGAAGAGCGGAGGGAGAGAATTTCAGGCAGGCCCCCCACTGAGCAGGGAGTCCCACTGGGGCTTGATCCCTGGACCCATGAGATCGCAACCTGGGCCTAAACCAAGAGTCAGACGCTTAACCGACTGAGCCACCCAGGTGCCCATAGACATTTATTGAATGATCAACTACATTAACATGAAGGATTATATCAATTTAAATGTAAATCAAAATACAATTCCTGATCCGTGAAACACTTTCATGCTGGGTCAATTAAGAAAGTCCAGACAGGAAATTGTAGCAGCCTTCACACCGCACCTCAAGTACCTGGTATGCGTTTCGGATTATGCTAACCACGAAATAGTCCATAAATATTAATCTCTCTCTCTCTTTTTAGCATCAGCAACAATTTAAATTTCATTTCATCAGGCTGTGGACAGTGAAGGTGATTCTGATGTTTTGCCTCTAGATCTGGGAAGGTAATGATTCCATTAAGTGAAGGAGGTCCATAGAGGAAGGACAAAATGCTGAGTCTCAGGAACCTGTGGGGCATTCGAGAAGGGAGGGCAAGCAGACAATAGGGTATTAAAATCTGGAGCTCAGGGGGCAGATCCAGGCAAAAGATAAAGATTATTGAATGAATGGCTTAGGCAAATGCCACAGCGTCACCCAGGGCAGGCGGGAATTGCAGGCAGAGGGGTGGCCCCACCCTGATGCCCGTGTCCTCTTGCATCATCCCATGGTATACTTTGCAGGACCCAGCTGGATGGATACATTGTGAGCTGAGCCCTACTGCTCAAAACAATGCTTTTCAAAGGTGAGAGTAAGAGCAGTGTTGCCAGCAGACGGAAAAGAGTCTAGCTTGGGTGTCAGGGAGGTTGCCTACTCACACTGAATTTTTCCTTTTGTTTTTGCAATATAGTTTAAGGAGGTAAATGAGTTGTTCAGTTTTGTGTGAGGTACCTTTAATTACATGAGTTTTCATTTGAGGGAGAAACTTCAAGTACCAACTTTGTTTTTAAGACTGAAAATATGTATTTTAAATTTTCTTCTGAGTAAAAAAGCAGACCAAGCAAAGAAACAATAAACTAAATGGCTTTAATAGTATCCTTCTCCCTCGGTTTTAGTTTTTGTTAAAGAACAATGCAATAGTAGGATGAAGAGAGGGTTGGCAATTATATTCTATCAAACTGTAAGAACAGGCAGACATTTTTCATTTTTTTACAAAAAAAGTAACAGGAAGAGAAATTAATATGCAAATGAATATAAAGGCGTTGGATTATCATAAATCTACAAAGACCTTTAGGTGTTAGGAGAAATTTCCAGAATTTTCATTCCACTTACCACACTGAATTTAAGCCCAAACAAATTTTTTAGAGAATACAATACACAGTTTTACCAAGCTGTGCTCACAAGGCCTACGGAGAAAAAAAAGAAAGCTTACCAACCTCTAGTGGTTGACTCACAATTTCTCTTTGTTAGTACATTGATGAAAATTAATTGGGTTAGATCACAGGAAGATCTACTTTGTGTATTTTCAGCTTCCCTTTCTGATTTTTGGTCCACTTTTGACAGACCCCCCAATTCCACTCTGCACTTCTGGTAGCCTGGGGTTCTCTTGCTTTCTGACCCACCTTTTATCTTAGGAAGAAGTCATCCTTTCTCCCTTTCTTTTTATTTTAAATCTAAAATTCATTCCTGCTACTAGATTATTCCTTCCAAAAATATTTCCTATAAGCCTCTTGTCTCTTATCAAGAAGGAAAGGGTTGCTCATCACCATGTTCACATCCTCCAGTGTGTTCTTCTGCGGGTCCATTTTCCACGTAGCACTGAGACTCTTAGCGGCATGAAGAGCGCAACTTTTGCTAATGAAGCTTTTTGGAAATGAGAACTTGTTGCAGAGTTACTTCAAATATCGATAATGGTCAATGCGGGGTGCCAAACACAAGAAGCTCCCCTAGGGATGAGTTACAACATTAAAAGAGCAGGCACTCTCTTCCCTTTCCCGGAGAGTTTTACTTTCTCCTGGGGAAGTGCATGTTTTAACATCTTGCCACTTAGGAACATTTCTTGTTTGACAGGTTTCTTGGATTACAAAATAGGGATGGAGATTATGAAAAGAAACCGTGTTCCCTCATCTCTGCCCTTTTAAGGGTGCATTAGACCAGGGTAAACCACAGGGCAGGACAAAAGAATGAACTAGTTAAGCATTCCTCGCTGCAAGTGAAATTCCTGTCTGTGTCACATGGAGGCTAAATCATTTCTTTTTATCGAGGGGTGACGTTCCTTGTATATCCTCTCTACCCTTGGAGATTCCTGTCGTGATTTGGTCCCAAGCTGTGGTTTGAAAGAGCTGAAGGACCAGCTGCTGTTAGCTGGAAGGCGCCTCAGGCCCCGCAACAGTAGATCCGCCAGGCCCACTGCAGCCTTGCAGCCCAGCTGAGCTCCAGGTAAAAGGAAGGGCAGTTTAGGATCATTGCAGTGTCTCCTTGGTCTTCAGCTCCTGCAGGGAAAGGAGGGGTCTTGCACTTATTTTTCTCAGAGTACACGTGCAGCTGAACATTTTTATACTGAATAAGCATTATATAGATCTCTAAGGAGTCTGTATGTATAGGTCTCCTGAAAGACTTAGGAGAATGGGCTGAGGCATGGCAGGGCATCCTCATCTATTCAGAGACCTCAGTGACTGAGGACAGTTCAGGACTGACGTCCAAAGCCATCAGCCTAAACATCCTTTTCTGCCCAGGAGCCAAGAACAAGGTATTTTGCGTAAATTACCCTGCTAGATGCCACAGTAGAGAGGAATGTATGTAGCTGAAACTCAAGCCAATACATTGTGTCCCCCAATTTAAAAAATAATCTTTGTTTTATATGGCTGAAAGAATAAAAAGAAAATAAGTCCTTCCAGATTAGAACATTGTTTTACAAGTTTCTTTGCATCCAACCAGAGTCTGTACCTTTAAGGCTCTGCCTGGAACCATTCCTTCCGGGCCATGGTTTGCCCCCCAGTTCTGTTGGCTTCCCTTGTGACTCAGACCTTCATTCTCTCTCTGCACAGCCCTTTCAGACTGATCATTCTCTTGGATGAGTGCCTTCCTCCCACGCAGTTTTTTTCCAAATCCACCTCCCGCCCCTCACCAAGTCCTACCCCTACTCCCAGGACACTCCCTCCCACCCCCGTGGGCCCAGCACCCTGCACAGACCCTCCACTGGGCAGGGACTAGATATTGGGCTTTATGCTATAAAATAAACACATTTTTTACTTAAAATTTTTTTTAAAGATTTATTTATTTATTTGAGAGAGAGTGCATGCGAATGTGAGCAGGGGAAGGGGTAGAAGGAGAAAGAGAGAAAATCCTCAGGCAGACTCCCTGCTGAGTGTGGAACCTGACTCAGGGCTTGATCCCAGGACCCTGAGATCATGACCTGAGTGGAGACCAAGAGTCTGCAGCTCAACGGACTGAGCCACTCAGGCGCCCCAACACATTTTTTTTTAAAGATTTTACTTATTTATCTGAGAGAGAGAGAATGAGAGACAGAGAGCATGAGAGGGAGGAGGGTCAGAGGGAGAAGCAGACCCCCTGCTCAGCAGGGAGCCCGATGCGGGACTCGATCCCGGGACTCCAGGATCGTGACCTGAGCGAAGGCAGTCGCTTAACCAACTGAGCCACCCAGGCGCCCATCGCCAACACATTTTTTAAAGGCACACACAAAGTCGGTCATAAGAGAAAGCAAATTCTGAATATTTCTATTTCTGCATTCAGACCACAAACATTTGAGTACTATGAAGCCAGAGATACTATGCAGAATGCTAAGATCAAAAACCACATAAGATGATATTGTCTGCCCTTAAAAATCAAAAAGCAGCCCCGCAGAGGACGCACAGGTGCTTGGCGACGAGAAGGGCCGCGCTGGCCAGAAGAACGCACCGCACTGGCTGCCCCAGCGCTGAGGGGTGGCCGCTGAAATCCGTCCGTCTCCAGCGAGCCCCTCTCCGCCCTCCGTCACTGAGCGCGGCAGGGACACTAAGGCAGCTGTGATGTCCTCCCGGCGTCTCTCTAACACGTTGCCCCGAATGGAAGTTTGGCATGTTGAACCCCCTGCTGCAGTCGGCTTCTCGGAGCCGCGGGACTAACGCCGGGGAGAAAGGCTGGGCCGAGACCCAGGCAGAGAAGAGCGCACAGGACCCGCCAGAGCTGGGGGAGGGGGTGCGGTCACGAACAGGGGCGGCGGAGGCTGCAGACGCAGGTGGGGCCTGCATCCTTATCCCAACAGCAAGGGGCCACCATCAGAGCTCTAAGCAGACTGAGGACATGAACCGATGAACGAAGAAACCCAAGGTGGTCGACATACACGCTGGAGTCTTATTCAGCCATAAAAAGGAAAGAAATTCTGACGCAGGCGAGAACATGGATGAACCTTGAGGACATTAGGCTAAGTGAAATCATCCAGTCACAGAAAGACAAATACTGTAGGATTCCACTTACATGAGGTGCATAGAGTAGTCACAACTCAGAGACAGAAAGTAGACCCATCGTTGCCAGGGGCTGAGGGGAGGCGAAATGGGGAGGTGTTGTTTAACGGGTACAGAATTTCGGTTTTGCAAGATGAGAAGGTTCTGGAGATTAAGGGCACAAGAACATAAACTTACTTTGCACCGCTGAACCATATACTTTAAAACGGCTAAAATGGTAAATTTTAGGTTATATATACACTTTACCACAATTTAAAAAATTCCAACATAGTAGAGTAATAACCAAAAAAAAAAAAAAAGGAAAGGAAAAAAAAGAAAACAAAGAAAAAGTACTATGGCTGTAGTATAGAGATTGAATTAAAAAGGCAAGACGAGAAGCCAGAGACCAGCTAGAAGCTGCTGAAGTGACCGAGGCAGGAGGGGACGCCTGTCTGACCTGGGCAAAGGGCTGTGTGTGAAGAGAAGTGCGTGAATTCCCGGGGAGGCAAAGTGGGGAAGAGACAAGGCTGCGGCAAGGGCGCTGGTTTGCTCAGTGGGGTAGAAAGTGATTGATGACGCCTGCAGGATAGGAAGAACAGGAGGAGGTGTGTGTGTGGGGGGGAGATGGCAGGGTCTGTACGCAGCATTAGCATTAGAAGCTCCGGTGGGGGGCCTGGGTGGCTTAGTCGTTGGACCACTGTCTTGGGCTCAGGTCATGATCCCGGGGTCCTGGGATCGAGCCCCACATCGGGCTCCCTGCTTGGCGGGAAGCCTGCTTCTCCCTCTCCCACTGCCTCTGCTTGTGTTCCCTCTTTCATTGTGTCTCTCTCTGTCAAATAAATAAATAAAATCTTTAAAAAAAAAAAAAAAAGAAGAAGAAGAAGAAGAAGAAACTCCGGTGGGACATCTAATTGCAAATGTTTGCTAGGTGGTTGGACGTACAGACTCAGGTCGCAGCTGGAAACTCTGGGCTGGAGGTACAGATCTGGAAACGACTAGTGTTTAGAAAGGTGGTATTTGAAACCCTCAGAGTGAAAGAAATAGCTCAGGGAAGTTGGCCATGGATGCAGGCTCTGCAGTGAAGGCTGGGAAGAGGGAGGGACACCTGTAAAGGAGACTAAGAAGTGGGAGCCAAAGGTAGGAGAAAGAAATGCAGAGCCAGAAGGCCAAGGGAAGAGCAGGTTTTACTAACGTTACAGAGATCAGTCAAGGAAAATGCATATTCTCGTCATGCAGTTTATGCTTGAGATTGACGTCGATGTGAACATGCAGAGAGCAGCTTAGTAATATGAGTGTAAGAAATAGACACTCGCAAATACACAATTTTGTCAAGTATTAGAGGACTGCATTCTCAGTTCCCACCTCTTTGAAAAATGACACGGTAATATTACTTCACAAGATTATCATGAAAAATACTGAGATCAAAGCACCCTGTAAACTGAAAGGTGTTCTACCAATGGGTATTATTACGTCTATCTGTTGTGGGATGGGATGACTTTTGAGCGAAGTGGGGTCACGTTCAGGGTAGCACCAGCAGTGTACGTAAGAAAGGTCAGGGGGACAAAAAACAGCCAGGAAGACTTGCAGACGGATAGCAGTCAGGTTGCAGAGTCCAGGGCAAGCAGTTGAACAGAAACTAGACCATCAGGAATACATGAATAGTGAAGAGTTAGGCAAGGTGTCAAATCCACAGTGAACAAAACAAGGAAACAGGAGGGATGAGTGTAGAACAGCTATGAGGCACCATCTGTCTCCAAGAACACTTAGAAAACAAGTACTACTCAGCCTCAGCCAGTGAGCTTTGATAGACGTGGGTATTTCCTCATTCCTTCTTCTTTCCCTACCTTGTTCCATAATAGATTTATGGTGGCTCAGAGCAATCCCCAAGTGTGAATACAGGATCCGCAGGAGGTATCAGGGAAAGGGGGCACATAACTGGAGAGCACACTGATGGGGCAGTGCAAAGATCCTGACACAGAAATTTAGAAACACATGCATTACATGTATGTTCCTGTTAAATGGCTCAGAGTGCTTTCTGTTTGGGACAGCAAACCTAAGCACATGCACATAGCTGGGCCCACCTGAAAACAGAGAGATAAGGAGATTATATATATATATATATATATATATATATATATATATATATATATATATATATATACATATAATTTTCATGCTCTGTTATTTGTATCCACTACAGAATATTATGGGATACCTGGATACAGAGAGAAGGATATGTCTAAAAAGTTGCCTATAAGACCTTGCAAATGTAGAGATACAGATCAGGAAAAAATGGAAGAGGTTCAAGAGTAGCTTAAAGATGCTTATAATTAAAAAGGGGTATAAAAATACTTTCAAAATAAATATCAAGAATTAGAGGGGCACCTGGGTGGCTCAGTCGGTTAAGTGTCTGACTTTTGATCTGGGCTCAGGTCTTGATCTCATGGTCATGAGTTCAAGCCCTGCATCCACACCCAGCGTGGAGCCTACTTAAAAAAAAAAAAAAAAGAATTAGAAAATGATAGTGCTGGGGAGTTGTTTCTCACTCCTCAGTTTTTAGGATATCACTGGTTTAAAAGCATCCTATGTAGTCTCACCTAGATCATCAGGTCAGAAAGCCTTCTTTCTTACCAATAGATACATAATCTTCACAACAGAAGTTTCCGGTGTATAAGGCCATCTCATCTTTCCTTTTAGCACATGGTAATAAAGATGCCCAATATTTAAATGATGGTGAGATTGCATTCTAGATCCTATTCATTTTCTGTTTCTAATAGCCCCATTTTATTAATTGCAAGGATTTTCAATTCTTGCCATCAAAAGCAAGTTAACTGTTACTTCAATGGCAATGGATGTTTCAAGCTATTGTCCAGATTACAAATGAGTGAACTGCATGCTGCATTAGAGGTACCGTGCATATTTCGAAGAGAGGAGTGGAAATTTGATGATGGAAGATAGAATGGTGGGATTTATACATAAAATCCAAGATTACAATTACCTTATTTTATTATTTTAAGCTGTACACAATCTTCCGCAGGTTCCTGTCAAGATAGGAATTTTACATTGTAGAGCCTGAAAAATACGTGCATATGACATTCAACTATAAAGCATTGGGACTATTTTTAAATCAATAGGAAGCACAAGAAGAAACGCTGTTTTCTTTCAAAGTCATTATCCTGAAAGGCCATAAACTCACTCCCGTGATGTCACAGTTCAAATCCTTTTGAATTATTGATCTGCTTTTAAAAAATTCGAACTCATGTTATCCTGGATACTGATGCATTGTCGGTGAGCATCTCTCTTATATCTGATCTTTCTGGAGTCACCGCCTATAATCTGTGGCCGTGACTGTAAGGTTTGGCATTTGGCTAGTTAGAAGGAGTCACTGCATATATGAAAATAGTTTAGAAATAGATTTCCACCTTCTGCCCCTGAAGGATCTATTGTTCTTTGTGATTGGGTCTTTCATTTTGTACATTAAATGATGTTAGTGTATGAAATTAGTAGCTTTGCCACAAAGTTTTCCTCTTCTCGCCCAAGGTCAACTTTCAGAGTTTGCCAAGAGAGCATTGTGGGATTGGGTAAAACCAACCTCTATCACACCTCTTGGGGGCACCGGAGTAGCCGTTCCAGAGGAAAACACCAGCATCTCACACACTGTTTGGCACAGCACTCGGAGCCAGGAAGGGCTTCAGGGGAACAGGGCAGGGTGTGGGAAAAGCCAACTGTTCTCTTTAGTCTGTTGTAACCTGGCCTCCACAACGTAACACTTTCTGGGATTTTCTGACTCACAGTTTGGGAAGATCAGGGGAATATACTTGCCAAATTGAACAGAATACCTGCTTCCTGCTTAACTGTTCATTTTGAGCGGAATATCTAATACATTTCCAGAACATGTTTGGATATAAGAAGGAATAGAAATGCCATTTTGAAAATGGTTTTGTGTGTGTGTGTGTGGTAGGGAAAAAAAGCCCTAATATTCAAAGAAGATGGGTCTTGGTTTCTTTATTCCATTTTATTAAGGACTATCAACAGAAAAATAAACATTTCTTTTTCCTCAGAAGTTAATAACTATTAATTTACTAAATTAGTAACAGCTCTCTCAGTCTACCAGAAAGCTATAACAATAATGAACATAGATAGCCTTTACTTCTTTTTTTAAAATTTTTTTAAATTGTTATGTTAATCACCATACATTACATCATTAGTTTTAGATGTAGTGTTCCATGATTCATTGTTTGCATAGAACACCCAGTGCTCCATGCAGAACGTGCCCTCTTTAATACCCATCACCAGGCTCACCCATCCCCCCACCCACCTCCCGTCTGGAACCCTCAGTTTGTTTTTCAGATCCATCATCTCTCATGGTTTGTCTCCCCCTCCGATTTCCCCCCCTTCATTCTTCCCCTCCTGCTATCTTCTTCTCTCTTTTTTTTCTCTTAACATATATTGCATTATTGGTTTCAGAGGTACAGATCTGTGATTCAACAGTCTTGCAAAATTCACAGCGCTTACCAGAGCACATACCCTCCCCAGTGTCTATCACCCAGCCACCCATCCCTCCCACCCCACCCCCCACTCCAGCAACCCTCAGTTTGTTTCCTGAGATTAAGAATTCCTCGTATCAGTGAGGTCATATGATACATGTCTTTCTCTGTTTGACTTATTTCGCTCAGCATAATACCCTCCAGTTCCATCCACGTCATTGCAAATGGCAAGATCTCATTCCTTTTGATGACTGCATAATATTCCATTGTATATATATACCACATCTTCTATATCCATTCATCTGTCGATGGACATCTTGGCTCTTTCCACAGTTTGGCTATTGTGGACATTGCTGATAGCCTTTACTTCTTACAACTCGATGAAGTAGGCCTTATTATGTCCATTTTACAGATGAGGAAACTGAGGCACAAACAGGTTAAGTAATGTGCCCAAGTCATACATTTAGTATGTGGCAGAGTTAGGATTTAAACCAAGAGAGTGAGGTCATGAATCAGTGCTCTTAACTACTATGCGAACACTCAGAAAGTTACTAAAAAGCAGGAAGAAAAATTCTTACCTTGTCATGGGTAACAGTTCACTAATCACTTAGTAAATGAAAGTGCAGTTTTTACCTAAGTCTCTAATGTGAAATGTGGGTAATTAAAGAATACACAGAGCCTGCAAACTCATTTACTTTTATGACTGGTTCTAGGCAAAGAAAATATTTATGGGTTTAAAGAAGTCGAATTCATGAACCATTCTCTCTCAGGGAAACCAGCTGGTGGTCTATATTCACAATATCGCTTCTCTACAATGGAAGACATAGCAATGGAGCTGTGTGAAGACGTTTTTTGTTTTTCTGTTTTTGTTTTTGCTTTGTTTTGTTTTTATGGAAAGGGAATTTGGTTAAAAGTGAAACATATCCGTAAGGTTAACTGAGAAAGAAATCGGGAGAAATCTGAGAGGAGCCCAGTGGAACTTGGTTTCCACAATTCTCATATTTAACCATGAAATTAAAATTAGGTGCAGGGCTAGATTTTCATGGGCATAAGGAGGTTTGTCAGTGAGTTCCAAAGAGTTCACATGGTCTTCTTTCTACTCCTTTCTAAAATCTGTCTGAAACACCCGAGAATTTTGACTGCTGAGTAAACTTGCTCATTTAGTAAATAACGAGTAAAAAAAGTTAAGAGTTGACTCAGAAGAAAGACAGGAAGTATGGTAAACGTGGGTGAGGGCATTACAAAGTTTGCAAACAAAACCAAATCTCTAAAGCATGATGATTTGCTAAACTATTATAAGTAACTTGGGAGAGAAAGCAGGACACCCACAAGGGAATTCTTTTTCATCTTTTCCCCTTCTAGTCAGAGTTCCATCCAGATGTTGCAGCCTCATGCAGCTAGTAGAATAATTTTTAAGAATAATAATTGAAAAAGCAAACTAAGATTTAAATGGCCAAGATAAAAATACACAAAGGGGATGTTATAGTGTAATGTTTATTAAGCTAAATTTTATTTTAAATTACTCCATTTCAGTACATGACAGGAATGGTCCACAGTAAAACAAAAGTAGTATTTCCAAGAATGTTATTTTATTATCTCCAGTTCTGTATGCATTTTCGCCTTTGACATCTGTCTCTACCACCACGACCAACACAGAATGGTTCAAAATAGAATTGTGACTATGGGCATGGGAGTGAGATAAACTCAAAACAAGCAAACCAACACCAATGACCAGTAAAAGTGTTGCTCTTGATATTTATAGACCATATTTACAAAAGTCAAGTTAAACCAACTGGTCATTATGTACATGTGTTAATATTAGTACTTTATATTTACGGATTTGTGTGCATTTGTATTATCAAGTAAAAAGATAAATTTTAAATTATTTATGAAAAATATATAAAATATGACTGATAACATACTTCAATTTGAGTACGTGTTCAAAACTCAGTGCTTAAAAATCTTTGGAAAAAGTCCAACAGATATTCTGATGGCAGATGTTAAAAGCGAAAGAGATGAGGAAATAATGAGTGTTGAGCGTGATTTTAATAAGTAGGGGAGGTGGGCAGAAAGAAGGTGTACACCTGGGCAGGAATCACACAGGATAAGGCAGATGAAGACTCAGAAATGAAAGATGTACAGTTTTTCTCAAGATCCATGTCATGTGAAATTGAACAGAACCAAGGCACTTTCAGGAAAAGGTAAAGGAATTTAAGTTTTGTTTGTTTGTTTTTAAAGATTTTATTTATTTATTTGACAGAGAGAGACACAGCGAGAGAGGGAACACAAGCAGGGGGAGTGGGAGAGGGAAAAGCAGGCTTCCTGCCGAGCAGGGAGCCCGATGTGGGGCTCGATCCCAGGACCCTGGGATCATGACCTGAGCCGAAGGCAGACGCTTAACGACTGAGCCACCCAGGCGCCCAGGAATTTAAGTTTTGATAATGAGTTCATACTATCAGCCAGTGCAGAACCGACTTCCGTCTAGAGAGTCCTTAGGAAGCATGCGCTGGACATTTACGGCACAGTCAGCTACAACGTCAAGTTCTTTGTTGGGCTTCCGTTAAGAGGGAAAGGGTGCCGCGTGCCATATAATGCCCTCCCACAACCGCCCTGGCGACCTGTCCTCCCCGGAGAAGCACGGGGTGGCATGAGCCCCCTTCCCAAACACAGCGGGGTGGGAATTCTCGCGCCTGAAAACTCTTCTTTCTCTAAGAAGCCCCTAGGACTTGGGGCAACTCAGCCCTGCGCCGCGGCCCCCCAGATCTTCCCCGGGGTGTCTCGCGGCCGGGGCCCACCTGCTAGTTGAGGCAGGGGCAGCAGCAGCAGCAGAGGGTCCGGCAGGGGTTCTTCTTCTCGTACTGCACCGCCTTGCGCACCTGCGCCTTGGCCTGGCCGGTGTAGTCGAGGGTCTTCTCCACGTTGAGCTCGATGACGTTCAAGGTGTCGGCCTGCTCCTCCACCAGCACCGCCATCTGCAGGAAGAGCTCGTGCACGTCGCGGATGCGGCTCTCCAGCCGCAGCAGCTCGCGGTGGCGGCTCTCGATCTCGTTGAGGGCCGCCCGCGCGCCCTTCACGTCGGCTAGCAAGTTCCCAGAGAACACGTCCCACTTGCCCTGCTCGAACATGTCCTCGATCTGCTCGCCCGACACGTCCTTGCCCATGATCTCCAGCTGGCGCTGGATGCGGATCTTGCAGTTGTGGCGCTGCTTCATCTCGGCCTGGTTGTACTGGTGCATGGCGCTCTGGAAGGTGCGGGTGAGCGCGCTGTAGTGCGCGCGCCAGATGCGCGCCACCGCCGAGTTGGGGCCGTGCCGGGCCTCCGCCTCCTCGCTCAGCGCCTCCATGGCGCGCAGCTTGCGGTGGATGTTCTCGCCCCGGGCCTTGATGTCCTTGGCAATCGAGTTGGTGTCGCGCTTGATGCTGCTGAGGCGCCGCATGGACGTGAGGAAGCGGGCGTTCTGCTTTCCCAGCCGCTTCACGTCGGTCATCAGCTGCTGGTTTTCATTCTGAAGGTCCTGGATGTCTCGGTACAAGGACTCCAGGATGTGATCCGTCTCGAACACGATGTCCTCGTGGGGCGAGTCCAAGTCATCGTCCCCGTCTGGGAACTGCTGGTCATAGTTCTTGGTTAACTCCACAAGTTCGGCTAGCCGGTCCTTCATCTTGCCTGCAAGTACAGACTGGAGTTAAACTCCTGCAGCGAGTCAAATACTTGCACTGGGAACACTGACGCCCCAAATAAAGAAACTTCTGCACAGCGCTCCCAGTTCTTTATTCCCGGGTGTAGGCAACAAATACACTAAAGGAGCTGAATATTCTAGGACATTTGGCTCACAATCACAAGGAAAGGACTATCATGACCGAGAGGCGTGAACACAGCCATACTTCATAGCCCATAAGGCCTCTGCAGCTCGGAACTCGAGTAATCAGCAATTTAAAATTTCAGAATGCCTCAAAAAATTAAAAATAGAGCTACCCTATGTCCCAGCAATTGCACTCTTGGGTATTCACCCCAAAGACACAGATGTAGTGAAAAGAAGGGCCATATGTACCCCAGTGTTCATAGCAGCAATGTCCACAATAACCAAACTGTGGAAAGAGCCGAGATGCCCTTCAACAGATGAATGGATAAAGAAGATGTGGTCCACATATACGATGGAATACTACTCAGCCATCAGAAAGGATGAATACCCAACTTTTACATCAACATGGATGGGACTGGAGGACATTATGCTAAGTGAAATAAGTCAAGCAGAGAAAGTCAATTATCATATGGTTTCACTTATTTGTGGAACATAAGGAATAGCATGGAGGACATTAGGAGAAGGAAGGGAAAAATGAAGGGGGGGAATCAGAGGGAGAGATGAACCATGAGAGACTATGGACTCTGGGAAACAAACTGAGGGTTTTAGAGGGGAGGGAGGTGGGGGGATGGGTTAGCCTGGTGATGGGTATTAAAGAGAGCACGTATTGCATGGAGCACTGGGTGTTATAGGAAAACAATGAATCGTGGATCACTACATCAAAAACTAATGATGTATTGTATGGTGACTAACATAACAAAATAAAATAAAATTTAAAAAAATAAAATTTCAGATTGCATTAGGAACCAATCACTTTTTCTTGCTTTATGTTTTCCAAAAATTGCAAATCAAAACAGGCACAGAAAAAGGAAAAAGAAGAAGAAAATATTTGGAAGGATAAAGATTTTTAAATAAGGACAATCAATGTACTCCAAGGCTGTAGGGCCAGCTCTAAGTGCTGTTTTTTGTCTATTTCAGCAAATGCTGAGCATGCCTGGTCCCAAGCAACCTATCAGTTCTTAAAACAGTTACCATATAAATCATGGTTTAAAATGTTTTCTCTTAAAAATGTTATAAAAGTAAAACATGCTTGAAGTAAGACAACAAAATAAAGACAAAAATCTAATGAGGAAGTATAAAATTTGGACGTTGACATTTCCTTGCTCCTCTGTTCATTATCACCGATACAGACTTCAGTTTGAGTGCCTGTTTGGTGGGGGTGACATCTGAAAATATATTTTGATGGAAGATATTAAAAGTGAAAGAGATAAGAAAGTGTTTAATGTGATTTTAGTAAGTAGGAGAGGTGGGCAGAGAGAAGATACCCTTCTAGGCAGCAATCACATAGCATAACCAGATGAAATGTCAGAAACAAAAGATGTTCAGTTTTTCCCAAGGTCCCTAGTAGTATCTTTAACAAAACTATTTGAAAAAATTTTTATATGGAAAATTTCAATCATACATAACCCTAGTAGCAGTAATAAAGCACGCTCTCATTTAACCCATTTAGCCATCACATAGTAGCAATATTTGTACTTTTGTTGTTGTTGTTATGCACATCCTGGTATTTTATTCATATCTGAATGCTAAACACAGTGCTTAAACATAAAATATTCATTTAAATGTATATGAAAGCTCTCAGATGCTGCCTTACCCCAGGTTCCCAAGAAAGCAGTCTGAAACAAATGTTATGTGCCAACATATTGCTGTGATACAATCCCAGGGCCCCCAGGGTGAGGGGGAGAAGGGAAGTGAGGTGGGAAAGAACAGAGACAAATACCCAGCTGGCTACAGCCTCACAAAACAACACAGCCAGTTGCTTAGTCAACTAGAAGTTTCCAGAAACACTACATGGAGTCGTGGCACCTGGAACAGTCCATGAAAAGGAGAAAGAGGGAGTCATTTGTTTATTGCTTCCTTCCTGTCTCCTGTCTCTTCTTGGTCAATATTCAGCCAATGGCCATTAAAACCCCTCTACTTATCCACATCCTCAGGGCAGCCGCTGGGGAAACCAAGTCCTATGCCCATGACCGGGTGCTGCTGTGAAACCAGGCATGAGGGCACCTAAGCCTCTGTGGGTGCATCGGGTCACCCCCACACACTGGAGCTGATGTGGCTACCATCACAGCACACATTACAGAGGCCTTGCCAAGGTCTGGTCCTCGGGGGAGGCTGAGACAGATGGCAGTGTTAGGGGATGAGGCGACAGAACAAACAGCTGGGTTCTTGGTTCTTCCCTGATCGGACAGCCAAAACTAGAGGGTAGTTGAGACTGAGCGAATCAGGGAGGAGTATAAACTGGATCTGGAACAGACATACATACAGATGAACATGGATGCTACTTTTATATTGGAATTGTTCATCTGTGTACACATCCAAGTGTTATCTGCAATATTTGTACTTCTCATGACCTTTTGAAACAAGTTGGCAGCTCAAGTAGAATCTCCATGTTTTCATAAGGGTGGTTCTAATTCGTTGCTACATAGCAAGGTAAAATAATGTTCTCTGTGTCCACATTTTTCCCAGGGAAGTGAAAAACGTTCATTTTTAGTAGCTTGTATAAATGTCAAAATAATGAACATGTTCCCTTGTGCCCAAGATTTTGTGGCTGCAGAGATTCTCTTCCGACTGTATAATTTGCAGCAAAGAAGGACAATGTAGTAGCACTTAATGGACACTCAATCGATGAGGGATCTTGATCTCAAATTAAAAGCTTCTCTCAAGTTGAAGTAATTAATTTTATTTCACCAAAGAATGCTGACAAGTTGGATTTAGTGATAAATGGGAAATGGTGAAATATTAACCGTGGCCTCTCATCTGCTATGATCACTATTTACATAAATTAAGCAGAAGTTTTATTCCAAGGTGATGATTTTTAATACCTGCTTAAAATGCCATTTTGCTATCTGGTGACAATGAAATGACAATGAAAAGGCAACTCATATATGAAGAAATCTAAATGCTAGTGAACATAGGAGTAGCTGATGTGTATCAGGTGCTTACTGTAATACCAAGTGCTTTCTAGGCACTTGTCATGTGATACCCTCTTTAATCTTCACAGATTCCACGAAGTAAGTATTGTCATTATCAGAGCTGGTACCTGAGCATAGGGAGATTAAGGAACTCACCCATGGTTGCCAGGGAGTGAACACTTGGGCCCTCTATAGAGTAGCCCTGCTTAACCACTACATTAACTTCTTCAGCAAATAAATAAAAGTGAGTCACGAAGGACTTCACTATTAAACAAGGAAATGCAGATTTAAGCACTGTGATTTTCTTCCCCCACCAAGTTGCCAAGATTTAAAATAATAATAATAATAATAATAATAATAATAATAATAATAATAATAATGTTTAAAAATTGGTGAGGATTCTGGGAACTCTGAAAAAATGCTGGTAGGAGAGCAAATTGATAGAATCTTTGGCAGGGAGGTTAGCAATATGCATCAAAAGCTTCTAAAATGTGTATTTGTTTTGCCCCATGTACATTTATTCTAAAAATTTGTGCAAGAGTGTGTGAAGCCCATTGCTGTCAATATTTCCAACGTCATGCTATCTTTACAGAAATTCAGAAATACTTTAAATGTGCAAAAATGAGGTATTGGCTGCTAAATCATTGCAGTTTAGAAGACTATCTAATGGTAGTAAAGCATAAAAAACCATCTTAGGCAGACAAACTAGGTAAAGAGAAGAGGATGTGTAGCACTCCTACACATACATCCTGAAACAAGGACTTGAACAATATGCATCAGAATGTCAATAGTTGGTTTCTTTGAATTGTGGAATTATAAATTATTTTAATTACTTCCTTGTGCTTTTCTGTATTTTCCAAAATTTTTATGATGCCCATGTAGATTTTACAATTAAATAAAATCCCACAAAACTGTAAATATTGTTTGCTTAGAGGACTAATTTCTTAAGGTCCTTCTTTAAGACATATGCATTGCAATCAGTTAACACCTTATGTGACCTGGACAAAGTACATTAGAGTTAGCTGGTTTGGAGTTGAGCTGTATCTATCTGCTTAAGTTAGTATCCAATGTATTCTACGATGCAACAGGTAGATGGTACAGAGAAGGGATATATTTTGATGAACCAGGTAAGAATAGGTACCATCCTTGCTTCTTGGCCAAGACTTAGGAGGCACTACAATGGAAGGTAATGAATGGGTGGTTAAGGTAAAACACCACACACCACAACATTAGGAATCTGTTTGCTGGTCTTCCACTAGTCTTAGACAGGTCCCATGCTCTGTATTGTTCTCCTAAAGCCACAAAAAAGCTATTTGGGGGAATCATCTCATTCATATTATGAGCAGAAAAACACACTTCAATCATACAGATAATGGCCTTGGAAGAAGATGTTCAGAGATAGTCATTCCTTCTCAAGACCTGAAAACTATAAAGGCATGGATCCTAAATCAAGTGAAGGCCTAAGATCATTTGAAGGCTCAAGTCCATAATCAGGTAAGGAGAGTGAAAGGAACAGTGTGGGGAATTAAAGATTCTCTGTGGAGGTGTAGAGGAGATGGTGGCCTTTACCTTGCCTTCCTACCAACCTTGCCTGGCCCAACCCACCCCAGATTGAGTCGGTCCCACTGATCCAGAGGTCTTCTGGTTGCCAGGGAGCAAGCATTAAGAAAACTACAACAGAAAGTCAACCAAAGAGAGGAAACCATCAAAATCCTAGAGGAGAACACAGGCAGTAACTCTCCCTAACATCAGGCATAGCAACTTCTACCTTGATATGTCTCCTGAGGCAAGAGAAACAAAAGCAAAAATAAACTATTGGTACTTGATCAAAATAAAAATGGTTCTGCACAGAGAAGGAAACAATTAACAAAACTAAAAGGCAACCTATGGAA